ATTTGCTGACATATTGAGTGCAGCACTTTCACAGCATCACCTTTTAGGATATGAAATAGCTCAACTGGAATTCCATCACCTCCACTAGCTATGTTCATCGTGATGTTTCCTAAGGACCACTTGACTTCACATTCCATGATGTCTGGCTCTAGGTGAGTGATCACACCATTGTGATTATCTGGGTTGTGAAGATCTTTTTTGTACAGTTCTTCTGTGGATTCTTGCCATCTCTTCTTAATATCTTCTGCTTCTGTTAGGTCCATACCATTTCTGTCTTTTATTGTGCCCATCTTTGCATGAAATGTTCCTTTGGTATCTAATTATTTTGAAGAAACCTCGTCTTTCCCATTCTTTTGATTTCCTCTATTTCTTTGCATTGATCACTGAAGAAGGTGAGTTCATTAGAGTCTTCTATTAATATATACAAGATTGGGCTTCCCAGGAGGTGCTAGTGATAAAGAATCCGCCTGCCAATGCAGAAGACACAAGAGACATGGGCTCGATCCCTGGATAGGGAAGATCCCCTGGAGAAGGAAATGGCAACCCACTCTAGTATTCTTGCCTGGAAAATTCCAGGGACAGAGGAGCCTGGTGGGCTACAGTTCATGGGGTTGCAGAGTCAGGCATTACTGAGTAACTGACTACAACACATATACAAGATCATATCATCTGTAAATAGAAATAATTTTACTTATTTTCCAATCTAAATGCCTTTTCTTTACTCCTTTTTTCTATTTCTTTTTTGCCTAAATGTTCTAGCTAGAACCTCCAGTATAATGTTAAATAGAAGTGGTGAAAAGCAGACGTCTTATCCTTTCCCTGATCTTAGGGGGAAAGCATTTAGCCTCTTACCATAAAGTATGACGTTAGCTGTGGGTTTGTCACAAATGGCCTTTATCAGGTTGAGGAAGTGCCTTTCCACTGCTAGACTGCTGGGGTGTTGTGCCAGATACTTTTCTGCATCTTTTGAAATGACCCTGTGGCTTTTGTCCTTCATTCTATTAATATGATACATTACATTGATGGATATTCAAATGTTAAACCAATCCTGCATTCCTGGGATAAATCTTACTTGGTCATATTGTGTAATCCTTTTTATAGATTGCTCAGTGGAGTTTTGGTAGTGTTTTCTTGAGGATTTTGCATCTGTATTTATAAGAGATAATGGTCTCTAGTTTTTCTTATGATGTTTTTGTCTCATTTGGGCATCAGAATAATACTGGTTGCATAGAATGAACTGGGAAGTGTTTTCTCTTGACTGATCATTTAGTCAATTATTTTATAGTAAATTATAAATAACAATTTATTATTTATTATAAATTAAATTATAAATTTAGATTATAAATTATTTATTATATTATCTGGCACAATCCGGTCATCAAGAGGTGAAAAGCCTGAGGCAGACCGGACTTTGAAACCCAGTTCTGCCATAACGTAGCTGAGAGACCTCAAACAAGTCTGTTTACACCATTTCTCTTCTATAAAGTGAGAACAGATGATACTTGCCGCACAAGGATTAAATGAGATAATACAAACAAAGCACCTGACACATGGTCTGGTGATACTTTATCACTCATCACTGACCACTCTGCCTTTCCCTCTTCTACTCACTGTCAGCTTCTTAAAGATAGATTATCTTACTGATTCTTGTCTCCCCAGAACCTAACATGGCATCTGCCACACTTTTGAAGGCTTGCAGAAATGTTGCCACAAATCTCTTAATCACTTCACTAAAACCCTGGGGGCCAGATGTTTTCCAGAAATAAGAAACTTTCCAATTTAGAACATTAATATGATGTATAAACTGCAATTATATATTGAACTCCTACCAACCAAAAGCCAAGTATACTAATTTTTTCCAAATGTCAAACAATATGAAAAATCAGTTCACAGAAAGGGTAATGCAATGGTAGAATAAATACACAAAACAGTGTCTCTCGGCCTTAAGTCATCAGGAAATGCAAATTCAAACAACATGATATGATTTCCACCCATGTCAGCAATACTTTTCAAGTGCAAAAGTACTGGGGAGAATATGGAAATTGCTCCTTAACTGGGAAGTGTTTTCTCTTGACTGATCATTTAGTCAATTATTTTATAGTAAATTATAAATAACAATTTATTATTTATTATAAATTAAATTATAAATTTAGATTATAAATTATTTATTATATTATCTGGCACAATCCGGTCATCAAGAGGTGAAAAGCCTGAGGCAGACCGGACTTTGAAACCCAGTTCTGCCATAACGTAGCTGAGAGACCTCAAACAACTCTGTTTACATCATTTCTCTTCTATAAAGTGAGAACAGATGATACTTGCCGCACAAGGATTAAATGAGATAATACAAACAAAGCACCTGACACATGGTCTGGTGATACTTTATCACTCATCACTGACCACTCTGCCTTTCCCTCTTCTACTCACTGTCAGCTTCTTAAAGATAGATTATCTTACTGATTCTTGTCTCCCCAGAACCTAACATGGCATCTGCCACACTTTTGAAGGCTTGCAGAAATGTTGCCACAAATCTCTTAATCACTTCACTAAAACCCTGGGGGCCAGATGTTTTCCAGAAATAAGAAACTTTCCAATTTAGAACATTAATATGATGTATAAACTGCAATTATATATTGAACTCCTACCAACCAAAAGCCAAGTATACTAATTTTTTCCAAATGTCAAACAATATGAAAAATCAGTTCACAGAAAGGGTAATGCAATGGTAGAATAAATACACAAAACAGTGTCTCTCGGCCTTAAGTCATCAGGAAATGCAAATTCAAACAACATGATATGATTTCCACCCATGTCAGCAATACTTTTCAAGTGCAAAAGTACTGGGGAGAATATGGAAATTGCTCCTGTTGGACACGGCTGGGAGGCAGGTGGTGGGTCTAGACATTTTGGAGGGCAAATTGACATACAGTCAGCAAATGAAAAATGCCCAAATTTCCAGAAATTCTACATTGTGACATCTGTCCCAGAGACCCCCCTGACACAGGTGCCCAGGGAGGCAAGCCCAAAGATGTTCAGGAATGCACTCTTAGAAACTACCCAGAGGGAAACAGCCTAATCAACTGCAGGACAGAAGCATATGCAACAGGATGCAGGTATTTAAAAGAGATAGAGTAGGCTTCTATAAGACAACAAGGGGCGTTCTCTAAGATCCATTGCTAAAGGAAGCACAGCATGACGTCCCAAACAAAACTAAGTGCATGTGATAGGTCCACAGAGCAAATATATAGGAAAAGGTCTCCTTTCCAGTGATGCAGACCATAATTACAGCTTTCTCCAGGCAGCTGAGGAGGGGACCAGGAATAGGGATGATAACTGTGAAAGGGAATTTGAGCCTTATTTTAAATGTTATATTTTTTCACAAGAATTTATTCATGGAGTGTTGGTATCATTTAAAATCAGCTTAATACTTAGGAATGAAGTTAAGCAGGGAGGCACTGAAAACTATAAAACTGCTGAAAGAAATTAGAAAAGACAAATAAATGGAAAGGCAACTTCTGTTTGTAGACTGGAAGACTGAATATTGCTAAGATTCAATACTACCCAAACAATCTATAGACTTAATGCAACCCTTATCAAAATCTCAATGGTATTTTTTTTAGTAGGAATAGAAAAGTCCATCTTAAAATCCATATTGAATCTTAAGGGAACTCCAAATAACCAAAACAATTTTGAAAAAGAAGAACACAATGGGAGGTCTCACGAAGCTACAGTAATCAAAACAGTATTTTGTGACCTAAAAGACAGACAGACATACAGCCCAATGGACTACAATAGATTGCCCAGAAATAAACTCACACATTTATGGTTGGGGGAAAGGACAATCTTTTCAACAAATGGTGCTGAAAAAACTGGGTATCCAATGCAAAAGAAAGAAGCTGGACCCTTATCTTATGCCGTATACAGAGTTTAACTCAAAATGGATCAAAGACCTAACTATAAAACTCTTAGAAGAAAACATGTAATTGAAAAGCTTCATGAGATTGGATTTGGCAATTGATTTATTGAACACGACACCTAAAACACAGGCAACAAGTGTAAAAATAAACATGCTTAACTACATAAAAATTAAACACTTTTGTGCAACAAAGATCACTATTCATAGAGTAAAAAGGCAACCCATGGAATGAGAGAAAATATTTGTAAACCATACATCTGATGAGGGTTTAATATCTAGGATACATTAAGAATGACAGCAAGAACAACAACAAAATCAAAAAAACCACCTAATTCAAAAGGACTAAAAGATTTGAAAAGACATTTCTCTAAAGATGATAATTAAACAGCTAATAAGCACATGAAAAGATGCTCAACATCATCAATCACTAGGGAAATGCAAATCTAAACTATGAGATCCTCATACCCATTAAGATGACTACTGTTTAAAAAAAATCAAAACCCAGAAAGAAGTGTTGGTGAGGATGTGAAGGAACTGGAACCTTGTACACAGATGGTAGGGTGTCAGGGAATGTTTGACAGGAGGATTCCTACGAGCCGTCTCTCATGAGTTCTTTGTCCCTCTTCAAGCGGAACAGCACGCTGCTCCCAGGGACTGAGGTCACTGTGTGAGGCAGGCTTGGGTCTCCTTTAGTAAACATTCTCTTTAGGACAAAACTGCTTAGTCTTGTACCCCTTTCTTGAGATATGGATTGTCTCCTGACCTTGTGACTAACATTACCCCTTGTTCCCTAGGTAACAGTTGCTGTACATTTGGTTTTCTGATCTCTATCATTCCCGAAAGAAGTTTCTTGTACCACAGCCTATATATACTCTTAGGAAAATCATTAAAGCACCTTTGCTCCCATCAGAGCTTAGGTCCCCGGGTCTTTTTTTTCTCTCTCATTCTCTCTTTTACTTTCTTATCATCGACTCCGTACCACCAGGTTCCGGTCCATTAAAGGACCCCAACAGTAGGGTGGTGAAATGGTGCAACTGCTAGGCAAATCAGTATGATGATTTCTTAAAATATTAAAAACATAAAAATTATTGCATCATCCAGCAATTCTACTTCAGGGTATATACCCCCAAAGACTGGAAAGCAGGGACTCAAACAGGTATTTGAAGCCAAGTGTCCACTGATGAATGAATGGATCAGCAAAATGGGGTCCATCCATACAATGGAATTCCATTCAGACTTATAAACCTTGAAGACATTATGCTTAGTGAAATAGGCCAGTCGTGAAAAGGCAGATACTGTAGGATCCCACTTACATGAGGTACCTAGAGTCATGAAATTCAGAGATAGGAAATAGCATGGTGGTTGCCAGGGGCTGGGGGAGGGAGGAATGGAGAGTTACTGTTTAATGGGTCCAGAGTTTCAGTTCTACAAGATGAAAAGGATGGACCACGGTAACAGCCACGTAACAACATGAATGAGCTTAACGCTGCTGAACTGTACACTAAAAATGGTGAAATGGTCAATTTCATGTTGTATGTGTGTTAGTCACTCAGTCGTTTTCAACTCTTTGTAACACCATGGACTGTAGCCCACCAGGCTCCTCTGTCCATGGAATTCTCCAGGCAAGAATACTGGAGTGGGTTGCCATTTTCTTCTCCAGGGCATCTTCCTGACCCAGGAATCGAACCAGGGTCTCCTGCACTGCAGGCAGATCCTTTACCATCTGGGTCACCAGAGAAGCCTTGATGTGATATATATTTGACCACAGTTAAACATTTAAAACAAACAATTGACAAAGAAAATCAGAAAGATAACACGTGCCTTCTAAGAGCATGTTCAGAGGCTAGGCTTCCAAGTTACTCCTGATTTACCAAAAAGAGTGTACCTTCCAGGAAACCCTGCAAGTGAACTGTTTCCAAAATGCAGCTGGAAATCTGCATTTCCCAAGCCCCCTTGCAAACTGCCCCATGGCACACCAGCAAATGTTTAACTTCCCCAGAGACATGGGGGCCGGAGATGCCAAAGGGAAGATCTCTGGGCCTGAGTTTTAGCTCCTGCGTCCTTGTAACTGAGAACCTGCTGCCGCGTGGATCCTGAGCTCCAGGGACTGGCCCTGCGGGAGTGGGACTCACCTCCAGGAAGTGATTGCTCAGGGCTGGGCCCGAGTCATTCTGGAAGGTCTGGAGGATGCGGAGCCGCCTCCTGTTGCGAATGTCATCCCAGTGCTTCCCATAGCTCGCCTCCAGCTCCCAGTGGAGATGGCCTGAGACCTCCTCGTGCCGCAGCTGGACCTGGGGACACACCCCACCAGGGAGACCACCGAGGAAGCCTTGTGAACCAGTCCTGAGTCTCCTCGCTGCCACCCATCCCGAGATGCAAGGCTTGCTTATTTGGGGAGAGAATTCTGTAATAGGTATGGATTTTTTTTTTTTTTTGCACTGATTTTGATTTTGTAAAATTTTGCATTCGAATATGATTCACTTTCATGAGTATATTTCTGCCACCCTCTGTCCCAAGGTGAGAAACTAGAAGGCCCCAACCTGGGCCTTATCTATGCCCTGATAACGAGTAGAAAGAGCCAGCCCGCCATGGGAAGATGACTCCTGATTTTCATGAGCCCAAGACCTCCCCCTGCCCCACTCTCCCACAGCAGCCTCTGGTTCCCTGGACTGAATCTACAAGGATCAGGCTTCCCCACTTGGGGGCTCTTGGCATCCTCTGCTTCCTCTTGCCTCTGAACCACAGGTTGAGGCAACACAGGCTCATCCATTCATTCAATTATTTAACAATGTTCCCCCAGGTACCAGGTAAGTGCCTCACTGGGCACTAGATAGCCAGGAAGGAAGGAGCCAGAAGCCCTGCCTTCATGGAAGCAGTAGTTCAGAGGAAGACACAAACTGGAAACAAAGTAAATTAACCAAGAAACAGCCACTTCTCCCTTTTGCTCGCCCCTCCTCATTCTGGTGAATTGCCAGTTCCTTAAGCCCGCCATTCGCCCTTCAGCCCAGGATCTTTGCGCTTACTGTTCCCTCTAGCTGTAGCACACTTCCATGGAAACAGAACTATCTCATTTTTTACTTTTCAGCTTAAAATACATATCCACCAAAGAAGTCTTCCCTGCTGCCCCGTCCAAATTAGACTCCCCTGTGTTTGATCAGTCTCTGCCCTGTTTATCATCCATGGCATTTATAATTCACTTGATTTGGTCCATGTCTCTTGCTCTCTGCCCCCCACCCAGCAATGGGATGATGGAGACCAGGGGCCGCCCTGAGCACAGCTCTGCCCCAGGGTTGGGCATAGAGCGGGTGTTCAATCAACACCAGCTGAACAGAGGGGAGATGAGACTCAAGCTCCAATCCGTGATCCATCCCCATAGATGACCTTGAGCAATTGACCTCTCTGAGGATGGGTTCAGCATGCTCACCCACCACTTCCCTGACCCTGGGGGCTCTCTCCAGACCCCGCATCCGGCCCAGGCACCCACCTTGTGACTGAACGCTGGGATCTGCGTGCAGTGGAGCTTGTGGTTCAGCTCCAGCTTGTAGGCGGCCTCCGAGCTGCTCTCTGCCCATAGCTTCTGGCTGGTGCTGCACTCCTGAGCCAGCTGCTTCGCCTGACCTGTGCAGAGGGCAACCCAGAGACCCCTGCCCTTCCTCTGCCAGGCAGCCCTCCATCCTCATTCCGAGCAGAGGAGTGTCTGGCACAGCCCTGCTTCAGCCAGCCCTCTGGATCTGCCTCAACTAACATCGCTTATTGGACTCTGCCAACTGCGAGGTTTTAAGAGACAGATTTATGCCCAGCCCCAACACACACAGGGCTTCCCAGGTGGCTTAGATGGTAAAGAATCCTCCTGCAATGCGGGAGACTTGGGCTCAGTCCCTGGATTGGGAAGATCCTCTGGAGAAGGGCATGGCAACCCACTCCAATATTCTTGCCTGGAGAATCCCCATGGAAAGAGGAGCCTGGCAGGCTATGGTTTTTGGGGTCACAAAGAGTCGGACACGACTGAGCAAATAAGCACAGTGCACCCACACACATAGACAGAGTTTTTCTTGTTTTAACGGGCAGGGACTCAGCTCCATTCAAAGCCAATAGAAGACTCTTCAGCTAAGAAGCCATGCGGCAAGGCCAAAACACCCAAGGTGACATTGGCACTTTAGCCTTCGGAGCCACCGCCCCAGGAAAGGGCGCAAGTCCAGCCCCTCCCCAGCTCACCCCCTGTCAGCACACGGGCATACCCCGGAGGCCGTACTTGATCTTCAGGTAGCTGGTCCAGAGGTGGCCCCGCCGCTGCAGCTGGCCCAGAGCACGCAGCCCCACGAGCTCCGGCACAGAGAGCTCAACACCCAGGGACACCACCTGCAGCCCGTCCTTCACCTTCTTCTCCAGCAGCGCTGTGGGGAGAGCGGGCGGGAAGACGGCAGGTCCAGCGTGGTCATGGCCCGTGCCCCAGGGGCTGACCCCCCACCCCAGGGTGCCAGGGGAGGAAAGGATGGGGGAGCAGCCCAAGGGGTCCCGGTAGAGCCAACGCCTAAGTCTCTACCAAGGACCATGGACATCAGGGTCGTTGACAGCATTTTCACTGTCCAGCTGGCAACCCCAAAAGTCACTTTGGTGGGTCCAGACCAAAAGGTTTTAAAACAAAACAGAATCAAACAAAAGAGAAATGACAGTGTGTTGATGGTCGTCAGGTAAATTTCACCTTCTGAAACTTGTTTCTGCTACACATTCAGCTCAATCACAGGTATAGCCATGCTGGTTAAGACAATCACAAATGCACAGGCCAGCTGGTCATTGGGGCTAGCCACTCACATCACTCCCTCGGAATTTCCCAGAACACCCCACAAGGAGCACCGCCGGGAGGGCTCCACGCCAGCTCCAGCACCAGGGCAGGCACCTGGTCAGGTGGGTGGGTATCCAGGCCAGGTTGCGTATTCAAAATCCAAACAGCACCCCGTGCAATTTAGGTCAAAAATGCAAAACATGTTTTTTACACATCCTGTAACATGTAATGTGGGTCGGAACCCAGACAGTCCAAAAGGTGCTGGTTTATGGCTCATGGGGCCGGCTATGCGTATTGGAAGGGCATCTGGGGGACTGAGGCAGAGGCTGCGAGCAGATACAAGGTCTGGGTTTTCTGTAAGTGGAATGTCGATATTGGGAGTTGGTGTGATGGGGACTACATGTGGGGTACTCAGCCCTCCCCTCCTCTCCCGAAGCCTGGTCACTAAGGAAAGGTGGCAGGAAGGCCCACCTCCCTCCTCCTACCTGACACGTGGGCCTCATCACCCAGCAGGTTGCTCAGTGACACAGAGAAGGCAAGCCGGCTGCCCGCCTGCTGGCTGAGGTTTCCAGTGAGGACCACAGGGCTGCCCGATGTCACCAGTCTCGCCTCCAGCTGGGCCTCAAACCGCTGGGCCTCGCCGCCCACTGCTGGCCACAGGTTGCTCCGGCCCTGGAAAGGTCCCAGCATCACTTGGGGGGACAGGCTCGGCTAACAGGCCCCACCCTGACAGCAAGAACCGGGACTGGACAGAGGGCAGGAGATGGATCCAGGTTAATGGGCTTCTAGGCTGATCCTTCTCAAACTTCTTAAAAAACTGCTCACAATAGGTAAGTGAAAATGAAAGTGTCAGTTGCGCAGGCATGTCCGACTCTTTGCAACCCCATAGACTGTAGCCCACCAGGTTCCTCTGTCCATGGAATTCTCCAGGCAAGAATCCTGGAGTGGGTTGTCATTCCCTTCTCCAGGGGATCTTCCTGACCCAGAAATCAAACCCAGGTCTCCCACATTACAGGCAGATTCTTTACCTTTTGAGCCACCAGGGAATGGGTAATCCCTATTCAAATTCAGAAAAAGTACGAATGCCTCTTCCTCACTGCCCCTCTTTCAATCTGTCAGGGACTCTTGGCCAGCTCTCCCTGCAGAATATTCTGGAATCTAACCACTTTGGCCACCTCCACCACTGTCCTGGCTTGCGCCTACTCATCATGCCTGTGTGGCTGTGACAACCTTCTCCCCGCTCTCCTGGCTCCTGCCCTAGTGACCAGGGCGAGCACTTCCATGCATAGGAGATGATGGTACCCCTATCTTCTTCAGGATAAGAGCCAAAGTCCTTGCAAAGGTCAACAAGGTCCGGTGGTTAAGAATCCACCTCCCAACGTGGGAGGGGACGTGGGTTCGATCCTGGTCGAGGAACTAAGATCCCACATGTTGCAGGGCCACTAAGTACATGAGCCACAACTCAAGAGCCCACACTCTGCAACTAAGACCCTATGCAGCCGCATAAACAAACACGTAAATAAATATTTTAACAACAACGAGCCAGAATTTCCCTGGAAGTCAGCCACGCAGCCCTGGCCAGAAAGCAAACAGCACAAGGGAGGACCCCCGGCAGGTAAGACACATAGATGACCCCAAACATACTATACGTCTCCACGATTGAGCTTTGTCCAGAGAACCATAGCAGCTGCAGCTGTCATCTTTGATGGCTGTGCCGACTGTAGACCCATCCTACAGACCTCTCTGCTGGCTGCCAGCTGATCTGATTACCCAAAAGATGAAACAACGGCCTCACTGTTCCCAGACTGTCCACTGCTTTAGGTTGTTGTTCAGTCACCCAGTCGTGTCCAACTCTTTGTGGCCCCATGGACTGCAGCATGCCAGGCTTCCCTGTCTATCACCAACTCCCAGAGCTTGCTGAAACTCATGTCCATCAAGTCGGTGATGCCATCCAACCACCTCATCCTCTGGTGCCCCCTTCTCCGCCTGCCCTCAATCTTTCCCAGCGTCAGGGTCTTTCTCTCTTGTAAACCCTGTTTTGCCTTTGCTTCTTGACAATAGTCACAAATGAGTGTCTTCTGCTTACTCTTTGGCAAAGCCTTACATGATCTGTCCCATCACTTTTCTGTCCCGTCTCCTGTGCTGGTCCAACCACACGGGGCCTCAGGCAGTGCTTCTGACATCCTGCATGCATCCCTGCCCCAGGACCTTTGCACATGCTGGGCCCACTACCTGCAATATCCTTCCCCCAGTGACCCACATGGCTCTCTTCTGCACATTCCTTACATCTTTGCTAAAGGTTATCTCCTCAGTCAGGCTTACCCTGTCAGCCTGTTTAAAACTGAAGCCAAGGGGCTCCTCTGGCAGTCCAGCGGCCAAGACCCTGCACTCCCAATGCTGGGGGCCCAGGTTCTATTCCTGGTTAGGGAACTAGATCCTACATGTCACAACTAAGAGTCAGTGCAGCCAAATGAATAAATAAAAAACTGGTGCCAACTTTCAGGCCCTTCTTCTCACATAATCCAGACCCCTGTATCTAGCTCATCGATTCCCTTTTCTTACAGCGCTTACATCCACCTATCACCACGATTTGCTTATGTATTTTATGATCTCTCCCATGAGAATGTAAGTTCCAACTTCCTGGTACATTGTAGGTACTTAATAAACAGCTACTGAATAAATGAATAAAGACAATGGAAAATATAGGTTTCATTCCCCTTCCTGGTTGCCCAGTCTCTCTCAAAGGCAACCACCATCCCTGCATCTGTGCATCTTCCAGAGACAGCGTGGGCCTACAGACATAAGTCTGTCTGTGTGTACACACACGTGTGTACATACGTGTGTATACATGTGTACTTAATCACACACGCATGCTGCCTCTTGCTCTGCACAAAAATAGACGCCAGCTCTCCACTCCTCTCCGCTTCTCTCACTTCATGGTGTGTCTGGCTGATGCTTCTCTCTGGTCTGTATCAGGAGCTGCTCGGCAGTCAGCTGTAGCTTTCGCAAAGTGCAGCCTGTAAATAGCGTGATCATAGAATTTCTCATCCAAACCAGGACACTTATCAGTTAAAGGGACCACTAACCAGGGACTTCCCTGGTGGTCCAGTGGCTAAGATTCCACGCTCCCAATGCAGGGGGTCCTGGGTCAGGGAACTGGGTTCCCATATGCTGCAACTAAAGATCCTGCAAGCCGCAGGAAAGATCGGAGAGCCCGTGTGCACCAACTAAGACTCAGTGCAGCCAAATAGATAAATATATTTTTGAAAAAAGAGAGAGAGGACCAGTAATCATAGCTGAGCTGGATCAATAGTAACCCAGGACTTAGGAATGCTCTATCATTGCACACACAGGGGAGAGGGCATTGAAATCTAACACTCTCCACGCCGTCCTTAAAGCCCATAAACTCTCAGAGTTGAGCCCAGCATTTCTGCTTTGTATTTCTGAGTTCATCTGCCTTAGCCTTCTCATTTCCTGTGGGCTTACCAAGAGGACTAAAAGAGAGACCCAGGGTCAAAGTCACATGTGTCCCCTGCCCATCCTAGAAAAGGCTTTGGAAAGTTCTGAAGCTCCATCTGTTACCACTATCGCGATAAGTCTGAGGCAGCTAGAACTGGAGTTTCTCTAAAGGCCAATGCTTCCAGGCTGCAGACAGCCCTCTGGAGAGCAGCAGGCAGGCCTACAGGGAAGGGCAGGCAATTAGCACTCGTGTGCTTAGCAAAGTGGGATTGATTCGAGGGCTCCTGGGAGCCCTGCAATGACGCATAGTCTCCGCCAGCAAGCAGCTGGGGTTCTAAGAGGAAGATGCTCTCCCCTGACACTTGGTCTTCGCACCCGGACAGGAAGGAGATTTGGGAGCTGAGAGTGTGTTCATGCAGCAAAAATTCCAACCCTGGCTCTAATTTTCAACTCGGACCTCTCTGAGAATCCACTGGAGACGGATACAGAACAACCAGACTCATGGCCAAAGGGGCCCAGAGGTCCCCCTTGGCAGGAGCGAGTCTCCAGCTGTTCTCTTTATCCTTTTTGGAGTCACAGACCTGCTTGAGCATCAGCTGGAAGGTCTAAACCCTCTCCCCAGAAGGAGGACAGACACAAACTTCTGCACAATTGCAGGGGCTTCAGAGGATGCACTGAGTCCCATCTAGGTCCTCCAGGTTGAAAACCTTAAAAAGTACCTATAGGGCTTCCTTGGTGGCTCAGTGGTAAAGAATTCACCCACTAATGCAAGGGACACAGGTTTGATTTCTGGTCTGGGAAGAACCCACATGTGGTGAAGCGATGCAGTAGCGTGTCACAACTACCGAGCCTGTGCTCTAGGGCCCAGGAGACACAACAAGAGAAGCCCCCACACTGCAAATCGAGAGTAGTCCCTGCTCCCTGCAGCTAGAGAAAAGATCACACAGCTACAAAGGGCCAGCACAGTCAAAAATAAACAAACAGATGTTTTTAAAAAACTGAAAGGTTTTTCAAATCTATAATATTATGAGCTGAACTGTGCTCCCCTCCAAAGCTAACCGCCAGGATATGTGAGGGTGACCATATTTGTAAACAGGATCTTTGCAGACAAAGGCAGGATGAGGTAATTTGTGTGGACCTTAATCCAGCCTGACTGGGAAACTTACAAAAAGAGAGATGTGGCCACAGATACCTGCAGAGGGCAGACAATGAGGAGACAAGGGGGAAGACAGCCACTTACAAGCCAAGGAATCCCCAAGGCTACTAGAAACCAGGAGAGAAGCATGGATTAGAGCCTTAGCAGGAACCAACTCTGCCAGCACCTTGATTTTGAACTTCCAGCCTCCAGAACTGTGAGAGGATTTCCATTGTTCAAGCCCCCGAAAATTCAGGGTGCTTTGATAGAGCAGCCCTGGAAAACTCACACAGATTTCTCGGTGTGTGCCTTGACATTTCTTCTGGAAATCTGGGGAGTAGCACTCTTTGACTTACTATTTTATATCTTTGTCTACGCTGGATTTTTTAAAGCATGCTCCTCTGTTACTGTTATTACCAATTTTTGACATTGATGGTGGTAAGATCTGAACCCATTTTTTTCTTTTTCATACTAGATGGTACTAGTAGGTGGAGGGAGAAGAACAGCTAAAGCGCCAAAGGAGGGACTTCCCTGGTGGTCCAGTGGTTAAGACTCTGCCTACCAACACAGGGGGTTGGGGTTCAATCCCTGGTCAGGAAACTAGATTCCACATTCCTCGGGGCAACTGAACCCACACACCACAACTGAAAGGTCCTGCTTGCCACAGTGAAGATCCCATGTGACACAACTAAGGCCCAACAAGTAAACAAATATTTTTATAAAAATCCACCTTCCAATGCAGGGGACATGGGTTAGATCCCTGGTCAGGGAACTAACATCCCACATGCCACGGGGCAACTAAGCCTACACCCCACAACTACAGAGTCCCTGCGTCGGTAACAGAAGATCCCCCCATATGATGCAGCAAAGATCTCTAGTGCCACAACTAAGACTCAATGCAGCAAGCAAATTAAGTAAGTAAATAATTAAAAAAAAAAAAAAAACCACCAAAGGAGGTGGTGATAAGCAAGCATGGATTGGGACCGGAAGTGTCCTGGGAGGTGGCAGGTGTCGACACCAGGGGTTTGAGGACGGGGTACAAACCTTGATGTAGTAGACGTCCCTTTCATCCAGGATCAACTCCAGGTGACCCATGCGGGCCCTCTGGACAGTCTCAATCTTTCCTGGGAGACAAAAATGAGAGTTTAGAGACCGGGGTTCAACATCCTGGATCCACCTCCGGGGTCGGCTGGGGGATGTCCTTCTGGCTTCCTATTCTCTGAGCCCCGGGGTCCTCATCCATTAAATGGGGCTCTATGTAGTGCCGACCTCAGAAGGTGGCTGAGGAGTCCACAGTGAGCGGGCTGTATCTAGCCCATGGATCCGGCCTGTGGCTGGGGGCAGGGTGATGGGGGACCACTGTCTTACCATCCAGCTCGATTCTCTTCTTGGGATGGAGAAGCTTGAGACGGAACTTCCCCTGAGGCCAGCTGTAGCTGACGTCCATCCCGACGTCCCTGGGCACTTCCGATCCGGGCGTGCCCATGAAGATGTGAGCTGAGGCTTCCTGAGGGAGCCAGCAGTCCTTCTGGAAACACAGCAGAGTCCTCGAGACTGAGAACCCATCCAGGCCCCACCTGAAGAAAACCTGAGTTCCGGGCTTCCCCCATCGCTCAGTGGTAAAGAATCTGCCTGCTAGGGCAGGAGACACTGGTTCCATCCCTGGTTCAGGAAGATCCCACAAGCCGTGGAGCAACAAAGCCTTTGAGCCACAACGACTGAGCCTGTGCTCTGGGGCCCGGGAACTGCAACTCCTGAGGCCACATGCTGCAACTCCTGAAGCCCAAACACTCTAGAGCCCATCTACTCTAGATCCGAAACAAGAGGAGCCACTGCGGTGAGAAGCCCAAGCTCGGCAACTAGAGAATAGCTCCCACTCGCTGCAACCAGAGAAAAGCAATGAAGACCCTCTGGCTTCCTATTCTCTGAGCCCCGGGGTCCTCATCCATTAAATGGGGCTCTATGTAGTGCCGACCTCAGAAGGTGGCTGAGGAGTCCACAGTGAGCAGGCTGTATCTGGCCCATGGATCCGGCCTGTGGCTGGGGGCAGGGTGATGGGGGACCACTGTCTTACCATCCAACTCGATTCTCTTCTTGGGATGGAGAAGCTTGAGACGGAACTTCCCCTGAGGCCAGCTGTAGCTGACGTCCACCCCGACGTCCCTGGGCACTTCTGATCCGGGCGTGCCCATGAAGATGTGAGCTGAGGCTTCCTGAGGGAGCCAGCAGTCCTTCTGGAAACACAGCAGAGTCCTCGAGACTGAGAACCCATCCAGGCCCCACCTGAAGAAAACCTGAGTTCCGGGCTTCCCCCATCGCTCAGTGGTAAAGAATCTGCCTGCTAGGGCAGGAGACACTGGTTCCATCCCTGGTTCAGGAAGATCCCACAAGCCGTGGAGCAACAAAGCCTTTGAGCCACAACGACTGAGCCTGTGCTCTGGGGCCCGGGAACTGCAACTCCTGAGGCCACATGCTGCAACTCCTGAAGCCCAAACACTCTAGAGCCCATCTACTCTAGATCCGAAACAAGAGGAGCCACTGCGGTGAGAAGCCCAAGCTCGGCAACTAGAGAATAGCTCCCACTCGCTGCAACCAGAGAAAAGCAATGAAGACCCTAAAATAAATAAATGCATGTTTCCAAAAGAAACACCAAAACCTGAGTTCTTATGGTCATTCTTGTCCTCGAAAGACAAGAACCCTAAAAGCAGGAGTCTGGGGCTGTATGTCCTGGAGGAGAGTCCTACAGGAGAACTCAGGACCACAGGAACAGGCTCTCAGTAGAGGATCAGCTGCCACACACACCTGCCTGGACCCCCCGGGGCCCCTTCAGCAGCTCAGCCTGCTCATCTCCCAGCTTCTGTGTGCTTTGCTTTTAAAAAAAAAAAAATTTATTTTGTATTGGGGTGTAACTGATTAACAACGTTGTGAAAGTATCAGGTGGAGAATGAAGGGACTCAGCCATACATATACATGAATCCATTCTCCCGCTAACTCCTCTCCCCTCCAGGCTGCCACAGAACATTGAGCAGAGTTCCCTATGCTGTTCGGTAGATCCTTGTTGGGTGCCCATTTTAAACATAGCTGTTTGTCCATGTCCATCCCTAACTGCATCCCTATCCTTCCCGCTGGCAGCCATAAGCTTGTTCTCAGCCTGTGAGTCTGTTTCTGTTTTGTAAGTTAAGTTCATTTGTGTAACTTCTTTTTGGATTCCATATAAGGGATGTCACATGATGGTTCTCCTTCTCTGACTTACTTCACTGTGTGATAAATCTCTAGGTCTACCCAGGTTGCTGCAAATGGCATTACTTCATTCTTTTTAAATGGCTGAGTAATAGTCCATTATATATATATATATGTACCACATCTTTATCCATTCCTCTGTTGATGGACATTTAGGTTGCTTCCAAGTCTTGGCTATCATAAACAGTGATGCAATGAACATCGGGGTCTGTGTACTTTGCTCCTAATGCCAGGCACCTGTGACCTCCAGAACATTCCCTCCAGCAAAGGAGGAAAAAACATCTGGCTGCTTAGCCCCCAGGGGTCCAAACTCTGCAACATAAGTCCTGCTCCAGGGCTGAGCAGGGTTCAGGCTGACGCTGCCACCTCACCTGCCACCCCCCCGACCCCCACTCAGCTTCTTTCCTATCCCCACCCTCTTTTCTCCACCCTCTTACTGGGTCCTCCTGGAGTCTTTTCTTCATCCATCACTTTTACGCAAAGCCTCGTCTCTGGTCTGCTTCTGGGAAAATGCAGCTTAAGGTATGAGCTCTCCTTAATATCCTGCACCATCGTACGTTCACTCAGAACCAACTAACGTTCACTGCTGTGTGCGAGGCACCGTTGCAGGCACAGGGAGTGCAGCCAAGTGATGTACGAGGGATATCCTGCCCTCCGGGCACCTACACTCGCAGGACCTCCAGACACAGAGGTGAGACGGCAGCTGGGGGCCGTGAGAGCTCCGCTGACAAACTCGGAGTCGGGGTCACTGTTCTGGACTGGGTGGTCAGGGAGGGAAGTTGTTGCTGAGGAAGGGGTGCGTTTGATGAGACCAGAAAGCAAGTGGATGTCTAGGAAAGAGTGTTCCAGGCAGAGGAAATAGCCAGTGCAAAGGCCCTGGGGCAGCAATGTGCTTGGCATTTAATTAAAAGTGCTGGGGGCCGTGAGTGCTCCGCTGACAAACTCGGAGTCGGGGTCACTGTTCTGGACTGGGTGGTCAGGGAGGGAAGTTGTTGCTGAGGAAGGGGTGCATTTGATGAGACCAGAAGGCAAGTGGATGTCTAGGAAAGAGTGTTCCAGGCAGAGGAAATAGCCAGTGCAAAGGCCCTGGGGCAGCAATGTGCTTGGCATTTAATTAAAAGGAGGTCAGTGTGTCTGGAGAGTGGTGATACTGGTCAAAAAGTGGGGAGATGGGGAGGAGAGACTGGCATGGCTGGATCATTGAAAGCCTGTCGGTCAGGGTGCTCGGCTCCTACTCAGAGGGAAAGGAGTCCTGAGCAGAGGATGGACACAATCCTTTAGGGATTTTGGAAGGTCTGTCTGGCTGCTGGTGGAAAACACATGGGAAGGAGACAGGAGTGGGAACTGGGAGGTCAGATAGGAGGCTGTTGAGTGTCTGTTCTGTGCCAGGTGCTGGGGACCCAGGCGTGAGAAAGGCACCGGATCTGTTCCCAGGAACTGAGTGACTAGTGGGGAAGACAGATCTTAATTAACCGGCTTCAGTAGTGAACACAAATGGGACCAAAAGAGAAGAAACACCGTTCCCTTAGAGCACGTAACAAACGAATATGGCCACTTCAGGGTAATCAGGGCAGGCTTCACTGAGGTGGTGACCTCTTGAATGGAGCTCTGAAGGTTGATTCAGAGTTAACAAGCCAACAAGATGTGCAAGGGTCCTGAGGCAGGAGGGGAACTACAGCAGGACAAGCCCAGTCCAACAGCTCCAGGGAGGAGGCCCCCTGTCTTTACAGTGATGCTCAAGGCTGACCCCGGAGTAGAAGACCTAGGGAGCTCCTGAATCTGGATGAGAAAGAAGAAGGTTCCCTAGGGCCTACCTGGGGGCGGAGGGTGTAGGCAGCTTCCAGTAGATACTGTTGGAGCCCCTGGTCCTGCTTCTTCAGGGTCATGGCTGTGAAGACAGGCAGCCAGAGCAGGTAGGGCTGGTCGGGCGCTGGCCAGCACATCTCAGCGCAGAGCTGCCAGCCCCAGGTGTGGGATGCTGTGAGGAGGGGAGCAGGCAGCACTCGTCAGGAGAGAGCTGAGGGCTCCGGGCGGGGCCACGGACGCTCCCATCAGCAAAGAAAGAGCATCTCCACATTCTTCGGAGAAACAGTATTATTTAGTCATTAATCATAGGAGGTGGTGCTGTGTAGACCAGGGTTTCTCAGCTTTGGCATTCTCAACACGTGGCCTGGATAATTCCTTGTTGCAGGGACTGCCCTGGGCTCGACCCACTAGATGGCTTCAGCACCTCCCACACCAGTATGATGTCTCCAGACATTGCCAACTGTCCCCTGGCTGGGGGGGAGGGTCAAAATCACCCCTGGTTTAGGACCCCTCATGTAGACTATCAGAATATCCAGCAGTATGATATAGGACACAGGTTCTGGAGCAAGAAAGCCTGGATCCGATTCCTGTTCTGCCAATGCCCAGCTGTGTGACTTTGGGCAAGTTACCTAACGTCTCAGTGCTTTGGTGTTTCTCATCTGTCCCTTGGGACTGAAAATAGATCCAGGCCCATGGTGTAGCTGGGAGGATTTATAGCTCAGTGAGTGTTCAGGACACTGTTTAGCCTAAAGGAGTAACTTAAGCAGGCCCCTCCCCCGCAAATGATTGCAAGATCTGCGGCTGTTTGATCTACCTCCTTCTCTTCCTTCTCAATTTTGTTGCCTTTCACCTGATGCTATCATCAAAGAGTTGTCTTATTCTATTACAATATGCAGTCAGGACTTCCCTGGCAGTCCAATGGTTAAGAACCCACTTGCCAATGCGGTGGACACAGGTTTGATCCCTGAGTTGGGAAGATCCCACATGCCATGGAGCAACTAAGCCCGAATGCCACAACTGCTGACCCCATGTGCTGCCACTCCTGAGTCTCTGTTTTGGGGCCCTCACTCTGCAACAAGAGAAGCCGCCAGAGTGAGAAGCCCACGCGCCACAAGAAACAGCAGTCCCCACTCACCGCAGCTGAAGAAAGCCTGCGTGCAGTGGCCAAGACCCAGCGCAGCCAGAAATACATGCATATATACATATGTAAAAAAGGAAATGCCAAAAAATCTACTAAAAAATGCCCTTCCTTACAGACTTCAAAAGTTACGGGATATCTCGGTATTTTACCAAACCAGGCGTTGGCAAGCGTTTTCAGTAAATGGCCAGATGGTAAATACTTGAGGTTTTGCTGGTCACACATCCATGACCGCAGTTTGCTGTTACTCAGCTCTGCTGTTGTTGAAGAAAAGCCACAGACAACGAGAGTGGCTCTGCACCAATAAAACTTCATTTCTGGGCACTGAAATATGAATTTCACAAATTTCTCACATGTTCTGAAATAGTCTTCTTTTGATTACTTTTTCAGCATTTGGAAATGTAAAAGTCTATTCTTAGTTCAAAGGCCGTTATAATAAGCCATCCTCCTACTGTTGGACATTTGAATTGCTGCCTATTTTTTTTTCTCTGTAAATAATGATGCAACAAACATCTCTGTGCATTCGGCACTTTTAAAGCGATTTTGGCTTATTTTCATAAGCTTCCCACATGGTGCTAGTAAGGAACCCACCTGCCAATGCAGGAGGCACAAGAGACATGGGTTCAATCCCTGGGTCGGGAAGGTCCCCTGGAAGAGGTAATAGCAACCCACTCCAGTATTCCTGCCTGGAAAATTCCATGGACAGAGGAGCCTGGCGGGCTACAGTCCGTGGGGCCACAAAGAGTCAGATACGACTGAATAACTGAACACAAAAAGTCTAGACACAGCATCACTGTGTTAAGGGGCATAAGTACTTCAGGGCGGAAGAGTAGCTCTGGAGTTTGGAGCTGTTATCTTACCCTTCAGCCCCGAGATGCCCATCTTGGGACAATGACACCGAGGGCCTGCTGGCACCCACCTTCCTTGCTGGTACAGGACTGGGCCTCGGAAGGGCTGGGAACGTGACTGAGGCTCCTCACGCCATCCCCAGTGATGAGATACAGCTGAGAGCTGGGTGGGAAGGGAGGGAAGTGTGGTGAGTCATTGACATTCATCCATAAAACCACCAGGGCAAGGTGCTGGGGCAGGTCCCACCAGGAACAGGACAGGCCTTTGGGGCACCTGGCAAGCTGGTGGGGGAGTCAGTCCATGAACACAGAGGGTGACAAGCGCTATGAAAAACCTAAAATATGGGATGGCATGGGCATAGCATCCACCTTGGTGACACAGCAAGGCGTTGGTTAGATGGGGGGTTTGGAGGGCACATTCTGCAGAGGTAATATATGGTCAGAGAATCAAAGGATGAGAAGCAGCCGGCATCCCAGAGGGAGTGGCAGGTGCAAAGGCCCTGGGGTGAGAATAAAGGGGGCTCTTTAGGAACCACCACCAAAAGGGAGGTGAGGGGGTAAGAATGGAATGGAGGGAGTGAGGGGGGAAGTAGTGGCAGGAGATGGGTGAGGGAGTGGGCAGGGCCTCCATCGGGCAGGGCAAGCATGTTAGCTGGGTTATCCTGGAAGCAGGCAAGGGATTTTAAACAGGGGAGGGGGAGCATGATAGGATTTAATTGACAAGTAAAAGGAGACCCCACTGGCCGCCGCCCAAAGAGGGTCAGGTGGGCAACAGTGCCTCCAGCAAGGGAAGGGAGGAGGTGGAGGTGGGGGCAATCTGGCTTCTCCTATTGTCTCTGAATCCACTGTTCTCTAAGTATCACCTCTCCAGGACGCTGGGGACAAGCAGACCCCAGGAGGGGCCCCCGGAAAGATCTGAGCATTGTGGGAGTCCCCCATCTCGGTCTCCTTCAGACCCTATCACAGACACACCCACCCTACCCTGACATACACACACACACACACACACACACACGATACACCCCACTCACTGCCATGGGCACACTGTCTCACAAACACGCCCACAGACATGCAATCACATACACAGACTCACAGGCATGCACACTCTCACAGACAGACACACCCACGCCAGCGCCCACCCTGGCTCACACACAGACACATTCACAGGTTCCCTCCCAGGGTGTGGGAACCCACCTGAAGCGGAGCAGCTCCACAACCTCTTCCGGTGTGTTTAGATGCACCCTGAGGTCTTGGCCCTTCCTCGCCTGGATCCCACCATCCAGGCTGGCAGTGCCGCGGACACCAGTCACCCACCTCAGCCCGGCCTGCCCCAGGGCACCCACTGTGCCCATCTGCACTGAGATCTGGAGCAGGGCGCTAAGGAAGAAGCACATGGCTGCAGCCTATGGCCCCAGGCAACAGCCAAACCAGTGCCAACCCATGCACCACCCACGACACCCTGTCAGCTTCACTTCATGGTCCTGAGTCAGAGCGGCCCCTCCACCACGGCCATCACTGACCACACACTCCACGTGGGCCAAGCACTCTATACCCTGCCATCAAACCCTCACCATCATTAGCCCCATTTAACAGACAGACAAACCGAGGCTCACAGAGGTGACACCACCTGCATGGGTTCCACAGCTGGGACATGGAACAGCCAGTCTGGAGTCCTGGTTGTCAGAGTCCAAGCCTAAGGTCTCTGTGCCCAACAAAAGACAGCACAGGACACCCACATTACCCCTGTTGGACCCAGAAACCAAACACAGGTCAACTTAATGACTGGGAGAGTCGCCCAGTAGGCCTGGGACAGCTGATCATTGTTCCGCTCAAAATCCTTGATGCCGTGTGGCCCTGGGTCAGCTGTGCACTCACTATGAGTCTCAATTTCCTTAATCCTTAATGGGAATAAGAAAAGTGTCCACCTTGTGTGTGGTCACGTGGGTTCCTGTACCTTAAATGCTCCTCCCTCTCCTTCTCCTCCCACCCTCTCCCCCAAGAGGCAGAGGGGGCAGAGGGAAGAGCGGGGCTGTGACACGAGCTGTGAATCCCAGCTGCTGTGCTACCTTGGGCATGGGGGCTGTACCTTGCTGAGCCTCAGTCTTCCCATCTGTAAAGTGGGCACATCTGCCCAAGATCTCCTTAGTTTCTTGGCACGAAAAACACTCCATCTACAGTAGCTGGTATGAAGGTATTCAGCAGAGCAGGGCTCCCCCCCGCCCCCAGCCCATACTGATGTCCCAACTCTCTGCAGGGGGAGGCCCTGATCCACCTATCTCCCCCAGATCCAAGGAGCCAGTTACCTGGGCTTGACATAACCATTCACAGAGAAATCTGAGCGCTGCTGGAAGTCGGCTGTCCCTCGGACCCGGATGTTGATGGCCGCCGAGACGTTGAGGGTCAAGCGGGCTGGGAGGCCAGACATGGTGGGAAAGGTGAGCTCCTCCATCGCTAGGTTCAGCCTCCGCTTCACCTGCACCTCCTGGCCCTGCAGTCAGAGGACCGTAAGGGTGCACGTGACCCCTCACTCACCCCTCACAACCCTTAGACGGAACCTCATCACTGCCCCCAGTTTCCAGACAAGAAAACAGAGCCCCCAAACAGATAACATAACCCAGCCAAGCCCATGTAGCTAGAAACTGGCAGAACTGGTGTTTGAACCAAGACAGGTTACTATAGGTCATAGTCAGAGGTCAGGCATCCAGGCCCATCCAAGGTGTGGGCCCTGCTAGCATACCTGGTTCAGAGCACTTAATGCCAGACACACTCCACTTTGTGGCATTGTTACCACACTGAGTCATTTGATTCAACAGCTCTATGAAATAGATATTCTTATTATGATTCTAGCATGCCCATTTCACAGATGCAGAAACTGAGGCTATGGTAAATTCAACAATACGCCCAAAGCGGTAAGCAGTGCAGCCAATTTTTGAGCTTGGCAGTCTAGTTCGAAATTTCACACTCTTGAGTTTGAAGGTTAGTACTCCACCAAAGCATCAAAGGAAACATCATCAGCTCAGAGGGCAGGGAAGGGTCAAGCCCAGCCTGAGGTACCTTCAGGAGTTTGATGGCAAGCTCAGCCAGGTTCAGGGACTGGCGTGTCACGTGGCTCCCCATCGCCCCACAGTTCACAAAGCTCAGCTCATGCCCGAACACCTTCATGCTCAGCTGACACTTCAGCGCCTGCCTCTCCCTGCGCCTCTGGGCCACCTGTGACCAGGAACAGGTCTGGCTTAGCCGGGCAAGGCACCTGGACCTCGGGAGGGGGAAGGGGCAGCTGGAGAGAAAGGTCAAGGGCTTGTAGGGTTCAGAACAGGGCTTGCAAAACTCATGGTCCAGAGGCAGAACCTACGGATATATTTTCTTAGACCTGCACAGTCTACCCAACACCCAATGCAATGTGTGTGTGTGTTTTAGTAAATAATAGAGGCTTTTAAAAATCCAGGCTGAATGTGACCCAGCAATAGAGCCAGACAAAGCTACAATTCAAAAAGACAGATGCACCCCAGTGTTCACTGCAGCGCTATTCACAATAGCCAAGACATGGAAGCAACCTACTTTATCCATCAGCAGAGTAATGGATAAAGACGGGGTACATATATACAATGGAATACTACTCAACCACCAAAGAGTGAAATAATGCCCTTTGCAGCAACGTGGATGAACCTAGAGAGTGTTATACTGAGTGAAGTAGGTCAGAGACATATGAAAATATCAAATGATATCACTTACATGTGGAATCCAGAAAAATGATACTAAAGTGAACTTATTTCCAAAGCAGAAAGAGTCACAGATATAGAAAACAAACTTATGGCTACCAGAGGGAAAAGGGGGGGGTGGATAAACTGGGAGACTGAGATTAACACATACACACTGCTACATATAAAATAGATAATTAATAAGTACCTACCCTATATAGCACAGGAAACTCCACTCAATACTGTTAATAACCTATATGTGAAAAGAATCTAAAAAAGAGTAGATTATATATAGGGGCTTCCCTGGTGGCTCAGCTGGTAAAGAATCCGCCTGCAGTGTGGGAGACCTGGGTCCGATCCCTGGGTTGGGAAGATTCCCTCGAGGAGGGCATGGAAACCCACTCCAGTATTCTTGCCTGGAAAATCCCCATGGATAGACGAGCCTGGAAGGTTACAGTCCATGGGGTCGCACAGAGAGTCCGACATGGCTGAGCAACTAAGAACAGCACATACATATACAGAAAACTGAGTCACTTTGCTGTAAGCCTGAAACTAACACTATATTGTAAATCAACTATGAAAGTGAGAGTCGCTCAGCCGTGTCTGACTCTTTGCGACCCCATGAACCATACAGTCCATGGAATTCTCCAGGCCAGAATACTGGAGTGTGTAGCCTTTCCCTTCTCCAGGGGATCTTCCCAAGCCAGGGATCGAACCCAGGTCTCCCACATGGCAGGCAGATTCTTTACCAGCTGAGCCACAACTATACTCCAATAAAAATTTTTAGAAAAAGTTGCAAAGCTAGTACAGAGAGCTCCCATGTACCTCACCCTGTTTCCTCCACTGTTAGCATCTTACGTGACCAAGATGCACAGTGAAAACGAGGAAACCAACACGAGCATGTTATTAACTAAACCACAGACTTTATTCAGATTTCACCAGTTTTTCCATTCCATCCTCTTTCTGTTCCAGGAGTCAGTCCAGTACCACATAGAGTTTAGTATCATGTCTCTTCAGTCTCCTCTGGTCTGTGACAGTTTCTTGGTCTTTATTTTTCATGCAGTAAGTGTTCTTAAAAAATTTATTTCTACTATTTAAAACCTGGGAGATTTTATGCAAAATCCAGATACCCAGCTTCTCAAAGAAAAGAGAAACATTGGCCTGTCTCCCACTGCCTCGCAGTCTCCCCCTCCCCAAAAGGGCAACAGGCATTCAGAACTGAGCGGTGGCTGCCAATGAGCCGAGGCCTGAGCTGCAGGCCTGTCTACCACAGTCCCCACCACGCCCCGCTGTCTCTCCAATGCTCAGGCCAAGGACTCCGGTCACTCATCACTGCGCTTGTGCAAAATATATCCTGCAAAGTGAATATATATCAAAAGCGAGAAAACAGGACTTCCCTGGTGGCACAGTGGTTAGGAATCCGCCTGCCAAGGCAGGGAACACAAGTTCAATCACTGGTCCAGGAACATTTCACATGCCATGGAGCAACTAAGCCAATGCGTCCCAACTACCGAGCCCATATGCTGCAACTACTGAAGCCCGCACACCTGGAACCTGGGCTCCGCAACAGGAGAAGCCACTCCAGTGAGGAGGCCGAGCACCGCAATGAAGAGTAGCCCCCACTTGCCACAACTAGAGAAAGCCCGCACAGTAACGAAGACCCAGAGCAGCCAAAAGTTAATTTGATTAAAAAAAAAAACCACAGTTTTTAAATAAACCTAAAAAAAAAGAAAGCCTTAAAAAAAGTGAGAAAATAATAGACCAACTCTGTTATGCTAAGAAATTGTGGGACTGTGATTCTAAGAAAAAACATTTATATCCAGCCCACAACCCTCATTCAAGTTGCTTACTGGCCCCAGATTTAGTCCAAGAGGCTTTTAAGAGCAGGGACCATGCTCTGATCATCTCTGTGTTCCTGGGCTGTGTTGAGGTCACAGCTGATGGTTAGTAAATGAGTGAACATGTAAGGAAATGCTCAGCCACTACCTTGATCACCCCCGGANGTAAACGAGTGAACACGTAAGGAAATGCTTCAGCCACTACCTTGATCACCCCCGGATATACATGGAAATGACATTTATGAGAACAAAAAGGTACTAACAACCTCAGTATCCATTGGTGGGTAAAAGGTCATGTAAAGTAAGGTTCCCCCCACCACAGAAAGGGTATTAAAATGTTTGCATACAGTAAGTTTTCAGTAAGAAAAATACTCAAGTAGTAGTATCAAGTAAGAAACCAGAGGAAACTCACATATACACACACTCCCTTCCCAGCAAGTCCACTCCTAGGTACGCGTGGAACAGATGTATGCACATACATTCACCAAAGAGACATGTACAAGAATGCACTACCCATAATAAGCCAGAAACTGGCTTTAAAAATGGACAAGGAAATTGTCAACAGTAAATGGATACCCCATCAAAAGTAACTGGATAAAGAAACTGTGGTATGTTCACACCATGGAATGCTATAAGCAAGGACAATAAACAAGCTGTAAGTACACACAGCAACACAGATTGATCTCACAAACACACTTTAAGCAAAAGAAGTCAGACACAAAAAAGAGGATGTGGACAGCATTATTCACAATCGTCCTAAGATGGGAACAACCCGAAAGTCCATCAGTGGATAAAGGCACATGCAAAATGTGGTTCATCCATACAATGAATATCATCCAGCCTTAAGAAGGAATGAAGCACAAAATCAGACCCATAGGTCAATGGAACATGTTAGAGAGCCCAGAAATAAATTCACACACCTAAGATCAATCTATGACAAAGGACACAAGAATATACATTGGAGAAAAGACAGTCTCTTCAGCAAGTGGTGCTGGGAAAGCTGTATAGCTACTTGTAAATAAATGAAGTTAGTACACACTCACATCGTACACAAGAATAAACTCAGAATGGCTTAAAGGCTTAAACATAAGACATGACACCATAAAACTAGAATACAGGCAAAACATTCTCTGACATAAATCATAGCAATGTTTTCTTAGGTCAGTCTCCCAAGGCAAAATAAATAAAAGGGAAAATAAACAGGACCTAACAAAACTTAGAAGATTTTGCACAACAAAAGAAACCATAAACAAAAAAAGAGAATCTACAGACTGAGGGAAAATATTTGCAGATGATGCAACTGACAAAAGATTAATTTCCAAAATACATAAATAGTTCACACAGCTCAGTATCAAAACAACCTAGTCATAAAATAGGCAGAAGACCTAGAGACGTTTCTCCAAAGAAGACATACAGATGGCCAACAGGCACATGAAAAGATGCTCAATATCACTAATTATTAGAGAAATGCAAATCAAAACCACTTCACACCATGCACCTTCATGTTTGTAGCAGCAACAGCCAAGATATGGAAGCAATCTAAGTGTCTACTGAGAGATAAATGGATAAAGAAGATGTGGGACACACACACAGACAATGGAATACTACTCAGCCATAAAAAAGAATGAAATAATGTAATCTGCAGCAACATGGATGGACCTAGAGATCATCATACTATGTAAAGTCAGACAAAGACAAACATCGTATGATATTACTTACATGTAGAGTCTAAAAAATTATGTAAATGAACTTATTTACAAAGCAGAAAGAGACCCACAGACATAGAGAGCAAGCTTATCGTTACCAAAGGGCAAAGGGGGTGGGGAGGGATAAATTAGGAGTTTGGGATTAACATATATACAGCACTATATATAAGATAGATAAACAACAAGGACTTATTGTACGAAAGTGAAAGTGATAGTCACTTGGTAGTGTCTGACTCTTTGCGACCCCATGGACTATATAGCCCACCAGGCTCCTATGTCCATGGAATTCTCCAGGCAAGAATACTGGAGTGGGCTGCCATTTCCTTCTCCAGGGGATTGTCCTGAAACAGGGATAAACCCAGGTCTCCTGCACTGCTAGCAGATTCTTTACCAGCTGAGCCTCGAGGGAAGCTCCTAAATTTTGTAATTTTTGGTTGCACCATGAAGCATGTGGAACCCTAAGTTTCCTAACCAGGGATTGAACCCTCATCCCCTGCAGTGGAAACACGGAGTCTTAACCATTGTACCACTGCAGGGAAGTTCATGAAGTTCATTCAGGGAAGTTTCTGTATAGCACAGAGAAATATACTCAGTATCTTGTCCTAATCTGTAATGGAAAAGAATCTGAAAAAGTGCATATGTACACACACACACACACACACACACACACATAACTGAATCACTTTGCTGTACACCAAAAACTATCCCATTATATATCAACTATACTTCAATTAAGAAAGGAATTATTTGTGCAATAGAAAAAAAGGATGAAGTACTGATGTATGCTGTGACACAAATAGACCTCGAAAACATGCTCAGTGAAAGAAACCAGATACAAACGGTCACATATTGTATGATTCTGTTTACAAGAAATGTCCAGAACAGATAAATCCATCGGGACAGAAAGCACATTCATGGTTGGCAGGGCTGGGAAATGAGGGTACGGCGCGTGACCGCTAACGGAGGTGGGGTCTCCTTGGGGTGATGAAAATGTTTTGGAACTAGACAGACGTGGTGGTTGCATAACGCTGTGAATGTATCACGTGTCACTGAATTGTATACTTTTAAACGGCTAACTTTATGTTATGTGAATGTCACCTCATTTTTTTCTTTCCACAAGAGAACATGTAAATGATTCCAGGTACATAAAGTTCACAAAGGAACTGGATGTGACTTCTCCTATCAACCAGATTGAAGTAACAGGGACTGGATTTACCTCCCTGTGTGGAGCAACTCGAAACTCAGATGAAACAGATTAAACAAAAGTTCCCAAGACATTAGACGCCATCAGGTAATGAGAGATGATGAACCCGAGAGACAGGAAATAGCAAGATGAGCCTCAGCTCAACCACCTGGAGGGGGTTCAGGCTGAGGGGCTGGGAGGGGAACACAGTGGGGCAAGGCAGACTCCTGGAGTGAAGGATCTGGGAGCCTGGGGAGACCAAGGTGACCAGACATTGCGGGGCAGAGTACAAGAGGGCAAAGAGTGGCACAGAGAACTCTGGAAGCCTCCAGAGGGTTCCAAGAATCTCTGCAAGACTGCATTAGGCAAGGATTTCTTAGATGTTAACACCCGAACACTACACGTAAAAGAAATGGATAAACCTGACTTTATCCAAATCAAGGATGTCTGCTCTTTAAAAGGCACTGTTGGGACTTCATCTGAGGTCCAGTGGTTAAGAATCTGCCTTCCAACGCAGGGGACTTGGGTTGATCCCTGCTCGGGAAACTAGGATACCACATGCTGTGGGCTGACAAGGCACACACACCACAACCAAGAGAAGCCCACCGCTGCAAATACTGAGCCCATGCGCTCTAGAGCCTGGGTGCCACAACCAGAGAAGCCTGCACACCACAAGCAAGACCCAGCATGGCCAGAAAAAGACACCGTTAAGAGAATGGAAAGACCATGCCACACACTGGGAGAAAATATTTGCAAGTCACACAGCTAATAAAAGCCTTGTGTTCTAAACAGATGAAGAAAGTTTGAAACTTGCTCTTAAGAAACCAACTCAATTAAAAAAAAAAAAAAGCCAAAATATTTGAACATACACTTCACCAAAGATGCAGAGGTGACAAATAAGCACATGAAAAGATGCTCAACGTTAGCAGCATTAGGGAATAAAGCCATGAGATACTACCACACACCATTAGAATGGCAAAAACTAAAGTTTAATCCTACCAAGTGTTGGCAAGGATGTGGAGGAATTAGACCTCTCATACACTGCTGGTGGGGATGCAAAATAGTACAACCACTTTACAAAAGAATTTAGCTAGCTCTTAAAAAATTAAACATATGATCCAGCCATCCCATCCCTCGATATTTACCTGAAACATGAAAACATATGTTTATATGAAGATTTGAAATGGCAACCCACTCCAGTATCTTTCCTGGAAAATCCCATGGATAGAGGAGCCTGGCGGGGTACAGTCCATGGGGTCGCAAGAGTAGGACATGACTTAGTGACTAAACAACCAACACATACATAAATGGGCATAGCATCCCTACTTGTAATAGCCTCCAAACTGGAAATAATGCAAATGTTCATCAACAGGTGAATATTTAAACTGTGTTCCATCCCTACAATGGAACACTACTTGACCATAGGAAGAAATAAACTATTCGTATACCCTGCACAATGGATGAATCTCAAAATAATTACACTGAATAGAGGAAGTCAGGCCAGAAAGGAGCACATGCTTTAAAACAAAAGTATATGCTGCATGATTCTATTTATGCAACATTCCAGAAAGTGCTAACTTATCTATTTTGACAGAAAGAGCATATCAAAATAGGGGGCAGGGGTGGAGCAGGAAGAAGGGATTAAAGAGCAGTAAGAAACTTTTGGGGGTGAGGGATATGTTGATTTAGCTGATGATGGTTTCACGGCGTATTGCTATTGTTTTCCAGTTGCTAAGTCATGTCCAACTCTTTGTGACCCCATGGACTGTAGGATCCCCGTGGACTATAGGATCCCCATGCCCACCAGGATTCTCTGTCTGTGGGATTTCCCAGGCAAGAATACTAGAGTGGGTCACCATTCCCTCCTCCGGGAGATCTTCCCGATCCAGGGATGGAACTTGTCTCCTGCATTGGCAGGCGGATTCTTCACCACTGAGCCATCAGCAAAGCCCCTTCACATTGTTTACGTATGTCGAAACTTGTCAAATGGTATGTGTCAAAACTTCAAACACATACCGTTTATTGTAGGACAATCATACCTCAACAAAGCTGATTTTTAAAGGGTTGCTCCGTGCTATTAGGAGTCAGAAGAGTGGTTGCTTACCCTGGTTATGGGCAGGTAAACCAGAATAGGGAGACAAAAGGGTGCTTCTGGGGAGCTTATGAGGGTCTGGGTGCTGGTTACAAGGATGTTTCACTGATGGAAACACACTTCCAAGGCGGGCGCTTTTCTATGTATGTGATCTAGCAAGTGGCTTTTCAAAAGAAGGCAGGCTAACAGCTCCCTGCTGAGATCTGGCCCAGCAATGTGCTTCTGTAAGGGGGCTGGGGGGTGGGAGGGCAGGGTCAGGGTGCATGGACACCTGGGTCCCCCAGTCCCAAAGCCCAAGCTAGCACCTGACGGGGGGAGGGTGAAAAGAGGTGGGCACAGGTGCTTCCCTTACCTTCTGCTGCAAGTCTCTCATCTTTCTGGACCTTTCTCCTGGACAAGCGGGGTCAGCCAGCGGCAGTGTGGGTCCTGGCTCTGCCTCTTGGGGCTCCTCCGCCTGGGCTTGTCTCACCCCTTCCTGCCCCCAGAATGACTTCGGGCCAAACAGCCTGTGGGCCATTTCCTCGGCATTTTCCAGTCGGAGTCCCAGCTGGGAAGGAAAGTCCAGGGGCTCAGGGCACAGTAACTTGTTCACAATAGTAACCAAGAGCTGTGGGGTTGGGAGCTTGAAAGAGGGCCCCAGGCTCCCTAGGGTCCATCCAGGCCCAAATGTCAAGAGATACAATCTCAGCTCCACATCTGCTTGGCAAATGCCACACAGCAAGAATTCCGACCAATTCTTTGAGGCCTGGTTCAAATGTCACCACCTCTGGGAAGCCTTCCCTGAATTCTCATATCACCAGCTCCATACATTCCCCCTCCCCACCCCCAACCAAATTTATTACCCCTTCCTCTGAGTGTGAAGCACATTACTCCAAGGTCATGCTCAAATCTGTGTGTCTCCCTGCAAGATCTTGAGCTCCATGAGAGCAGGGCCCTGCATCTCACTAAATGAACTCAACGCCTGGTGAGATGGTTAATTCTGTGTCTATGTGACTGGGCCATAGGGTGCCCAGATATTTGGTCCAGTGTTATTACACATGTTTCTGTGAGAGAATTTTTGGATGAGTTTAACATTTAGATCAGTGGACTGAGTCAAGCAGCTTGCCCTCCATAATATGGGTGAGCCTCATCTAATCAGTTGAAGGTCTGAATGAAACAAAGGGCTGCCCTTCCTCCAAATAAGAGGGCATTCCTCCTGCCTGACTGTCTTCAGACTGGGACATTGGCTTTTCCAGCCTTCAGATGGGAACTACACCATCAGTTCCCTTGGGTCTCCAGCTGTGCTGACTGTAGATCTGGGACTTGTCAGCCTCTATAAACCCTACTGGTTCTACTTTTCTGGAAGACCTTGACTAACAGATGACCTGACTGATCCTCAAAATCTGATGGATGAATGAATGAGTCCTTCCTTCATTCCATCTACCTATCCACCCACCCATCTGTTCACTCATTCTTACATCCTTTCCTTCCAACCTCTCATCTAGATATCTATGACAGCATTTGCAGAGAAATTACCAGAGGTTCAGCCCTTGGCAGATCTAAGCTTAGGTGCCCAGAAGGTAAAGTTTGGATGTTAAGTCCCCTGTTCTCCATAAATTAGAAAGAGCTGGGATAGGGCACAGAGCACTCTCTCTCAGACAAGCTCCAGGGACCTGGGGCGAAGAGATGGAAGGGCCCCAAGGTATTACATTACTTCAAAGTTTGCTGGGCACATGACCTCAGAGATCGTCCCTCTTCCATTGCTGCCCCTTACAAATCATTTTCCACATTCAAATTGCATGTCACTCCCCAACTTGAAACCCTTCCTCAACATGGCCTTGCTCCCTCCCTGAGCTCCCATCTTAATATTCTCATCCTTTTCTCTAGTCTATTTCTATTCCTTAAACACACCAAGCCCTCTCTCGTCTCAGGAACTTTGAACACACTGCCTCCTTTCCCCCTGCAAGGTTTTTACCTCAGTTTCCCACACGCCTGCTCCCACTCATCCTTCAGATCTCTAAACTCACTACTTAAAGTTGCCATTGTTTTCTGAATGTGTCTACTCATTTCTTATCTGTCTACCTTCTCTGGGCTGTGAGCACCAAGAAGGCAGGAATTCTCTCTCTCTTGATCATCATCATTTTCTTCGAGCCCAGCACACAGCACAGTGCCTGGCACATGTTAAGTAGAAGATGGAAACTATGCAGTTGATGACAGGTTCATAGATGGATGGATGGATGAACATGGAGGGATAGATGGCTAGAAGGGTGGATACATCAGTGGGAGAACAGATGAAGAGAAGGGTGCGTGGGGAGACGGACAGATAGATGTATGGATGGGTGGAAGGGTAGAGGAATAAATAGTGGATGAGAGAGTAGATGAAGAGAGAGTGGGATGTATAGATGAATAGATGGAAGAGGATAGAAGAATGGATGGATGGATACAGATGTATAAACACATGGAAGAGTATGTGGACAGATGAGTGTGTAGGTCTTAGTAAATAGGTGGCTAGATGGGTGGATGACTGAGAGAATAAACAGATGATCGGGTGAGAGTGTACATGGAGAGATGGGTGGGAAGGCACATAAATGGATAGGTGGATGAGAAGGATGGATGAATGACTGTATGGATGGGGTGATGGATAGGCAACGGATGGGTGGATGGATAGCTAAGTGGGTGCATAGATAGGTTGGTGGATGGGTGTATGACTGGGAAGATAAATGAGTAGGTGAGAGGGTAGATGGAGAGAGATGGGAGGTACACAGATGGATGAGAGGGAGGGAGAGAAGGAGGGATGGGGGTCATAGATGTATGGATTTATGTATGGGTCAGTAGGCTGCCAATCCACTCCAGTATTCTTGCCTGGAGAATCCCAGGGACAGAGGAGCCTAGTGGGCTGCCGTCTGTGGGGTCTCACAGAGTTGGACATGACTAAAGCAACTTAGCAGCAGCAGCAGCAGCAGTAGGCTGGATGAATAGATGGGTGGACAGGCAGATAAATGGGTAAATGGAGTTTGGGGTCTGGGAGTACAAGATGTGGGAGTAGATCAATAGATATAAGAAGTGAGGGATGGAAAGATGGATGGATGGGATTGTTTCTGCCCCCAAGCCCAGGAGATGCCCTGAAGAGACTGAAACAGGGCCCCTCTTACCTCCAGAACGTTGAAGGCATGACCAAGAGCATGGATGGTCAGGTTGGCTGTGGCAGAACGGGGGAGGAAGGAGGCTGGGGAGAAGAGAAGGGTCCCCTCCAGGTTGGCTCCCAGGCTGCCTGATGCTGGAAGAGAAAGGATCAGTGCCCACCACGCCACTCACAGGGCAGGAGCTGACAGCCAAAGGGCTGGAGACAGGGCTAGACACAGGGTGCATCCTCTCAGTCAGGACAGGAAACTCAGATGAGTAGGCCTTACCAAGGGCAGAGAGAAGGTCAGGACAGAGGGTCACGAATGCACCCACATCTACTGATAGGTGGGGGCAGCCAGAGCACCCCACCCTGCCCCCCAACTTTCCAAGCAGCTGAGGGGGGTTGGATATCTAACCTAGAAAGGGGTCTCTTTTTGATTCTGATAATCACAAGGAAGCAGCTGTCTCTGGTTGATGCTAATCTCCCTTTTTAACCCAGGGAAAAGCAGTTCTCAAACTCACAGCCCTCAGCAGGCAAGAATCCAAGTGTTTCACGGTCACTGCATTTCTTTTTAGGACAACCCTATTTTTAGAATTAAACTAATCTTCTGCTAATAGTAGCAATGTAAGGTTTTCTTTTAGCATAACAGTAAGTTTAAAAGAACCAGTTTAGAGAAAAGATGGAAGTACTATTTCATTGAATCCTATAACGTGGCTCATACTTAACTATTTTTTACCTCTTCCATCAAAAATGGCAGGTGCTATGGGGATACAGAAAAAAAAAATCAAGCAGATGGCATGTGAATACCTGGACATTGGGGAAACAGACATGGCCACGTGTCCTCCAGAGTCAGAACTCCCGGGTCCCCAGGCCTTTGTGGTCCCCAAGGAGGACAGTGCTGGTCAAAGATGCCCATACCTGAGCGGAAGGTGATGTCAGAGTAGGACGAGTGTTTCCACATCTCTGGATGGAACTCCTGGCTGACAATATCTTCAGGGATGGCCTCCCGTAGGGTCTGTTTCAAGGGGTCGTCCGTCTCCAATAGCTGCAGGAGGTGACTCCACACAAAGGAGCCCACTGGAGTCCGGTTGCAGCCAGCAGGAAGGGGAGGGGAGGGCGATGAGGGAGGACCCACAGCTGACACAGTACAGAGAAAAGACCCCCGGCCTCCCGCTCCAGGTCCTGCTATTTCTACCCACCAGGGGCTTCTCAGGAGCCTGGCTGCTGAGAACCATGTCCTTTTTGTAGACAAGCAGCAAACAGAAGTGCCTAACGGAACTTGGAAATCTAGGCTGCACAGGGCATTCTGATGCACTTTCCTGAAGGAAAGGGAACCCACTGGAGCCCAGTGGGGACTGGTCTGGTTTGAGAGTGTGGGGAAAGCCCTGCTTTGAAAGTCAGACCTGAGTCTGAACCTCAGTTCCACCACTCATGAGCTGGGTGACCTTGGGCTGGTCACTCCACTTCTCTGAGCCTTAGTTTCCTCATCGGTAAAATGAACTGTATTGACCCATCTCCCAGGGCTGTTTGCACAGATCAGTCAAGGGCAGAATCTGGACCTAAAGGACTGAATATCTTTTAGGGTTGGGAAGGGGTAAACATGCAATCTGTGATGGGGGCCCTCTGAGGCTCTCTGGAGAGTTAAAAATGAAATGAGTCTACTGAGGGGAAGGAGTCCAACCCAGAATATCATTCTAATTGGGAACAGCAGCCCCCTTGCTCATCCCAGGCTCTCAGAATGCCCAGCAGGGGGCTTCTAGAACAATCCACCATGAAACAGAGCTGAGAATGTTTTTGTTCCCATCAGGCAACACACAAGCCTGATACTGCAGGGTCTCTACGAAGGCTGCCTCTTGGCTGACCCCCTCTGAGGGGCTTGGCTCAGTGGTCTATTGATGTAGAACAACCCACCCCATCCCATCCCACCCTAGAAACTGCCAACAACAAACTGCAGCTTCTAGTTAGCACCATTTCTTTCCCTTTGGGGGCTGAGGAGGTGTCATTTCTTTATAAGATAGTTTAGCAGCATCACATCAGACTTTTAAACATGTGTGCACACCTTAATGTTGGCTGAGTGTGTGTGTGCTAAGTCATTTCCATCATGTCCAACTCTTTAAGACCCTATGAACTGTAGCTTGCCAGGCTCCTCTGTCCATGTGGATTCTCCAGGCAAGAATATTGGAGTGGGTTGCATTTCCTCCTCCACAGGATCTTCCCAACCCAGGGATCAAACCTGTGTCTCAACATCTCCTGCATTGGCAGGTGGGCTCTTTACCACTAGCACCACCTGGGAAGCCGCCTACGTTGGCTACTTCTGGGAAATTATCCTCCGGCTAGATTAGCAAAAGGGTCTGAAGGAGGATGGACAGAGAGATTCATTTCGGTTGCTGTTTCTCATGGCAAAAGACCAGAAAAAAAAAATATCTAAGTGCCCATCACTGGGGACTGGTAAAGTGGACTATGGTTTAAGCTCCTAGTGGAGCATCCCACAGCTGCAGCTAAGAGCCCAAGTGCCCTGATGTGAAAAGAGCTCCCGGACATACTGAAGGCAGAGGCAAGGGACACAACAGTGTGTACACCATGATCCTGGTCTGCTGCTGTTGTTACGGTGATAACACACCCATGTTCATACATGCACTATACATGTTCTGATGGGACACACAAGAGAATGGTCAAAGTCAGTGCCTTCAGGAAACAGGACTTAGGGATCAGGAGGCAAGGAAGGCGACCTTTAACTTTCCATTTATATCTTGCCATCTGCTTTGAAATTTTGGCGGCATAATCATAGCAGAGAATGAGATGGCTGCACGGCATCCCTGACTGGACATGAGTTTGAGCGAACTCTGGGAGATGGTGAAGGACAGGGAAGCCTGGCCTGCTGCTGTCCACGGGGTCTCAAGGAGTGGGACACAACTGAATGACTGAACAACAACAGAAGTAGTGATAATAACACTGAAAGTTAACAGCTATGCCTACAGCACTTACAATGTTCTAAATGCCTTCTCGTATTAATTCATTTTATGCTTCCTTTATGAGGAAGGTACTGTTATCCCCATTTCACGGATGGAGAGATGGAGGCTCACAAATGTTTGGTCATTTGCCCAAAGGCACACAGGTAGGAAGTGGCTGAGCCGGAGATTGAACCCAGTCAGGCAGTCCCCAGGGTCTCAACTCACTGTGAATTATGTCAAATCACTGTACACTAGGGAAAAAAACTTTGAAAATTAGCTGAGCCTATTTTTTGAAGTTCTACCTGTTTAAAAGGAACACTCTGACCCCCGAGATTCCCAGACACTGTCCCTGGTCTGCCTTGAGTCTCTCTTCCTCTCCTCCAGGTACTGTGCCATGACCTGGCCAGAGCTAGAAAGGAGCTCAGCGACTTTCACCCCATTGTACAGATGAGGAAACTGAGGACCAGAGAGAAGCAACTTCTCCTGGGTTGTTCAATTGCCACAGGGGTGAGGGGAGCATGTGAGGCCGCTAGTCCAGATGGCGTGGCAAAAGGGGATGGGAAAACCCCCTGAGGGATGGAGGCAGAGTGCTCTGGAACCCCTGCACCCATCAGGTGGCACCCAGGCAAGCCCCTGGCCCCCCAACACAGCTGCTTACCCTGGGTGGACTGCTCTCCTGCCTGGGTACGCTGCACCTGGGCAAACACCTCCTCTCCCGGGCACCTCATCAGGGCCAGGTAGGCATTGATGCGGATCTCAGAATCCTCCTCGGCGTTTTGGTACAGGCTGTAGAGCATGGACCGCTGCCCCGGGCAAAGAGAAAGCCATCACTCAGAGCCCACCCAGAGCCCACCCACCCCCGCCCAGGAGCACCACATCCCCTGTCCGCCCTGGCTCCAGCAGGGGCGCCCGCTGCCTTGACCCGCCTCTCCCAAAGCCTCCACTGCTCCCAGCCACGCTCACCTGTGGCCCGACTGTGGGACGTGGGAGTTTGCCCAGTCACTGCTAATACCTAACTTCCCAGAGCCCCAGCCCAGAGCCTTATCAACTTCCACAAGTAAAAATGGTAAGGGCTTCCCACGTGTGCCGGTGGTAAGGAATCAGCCTACCAATGCAGGAGATGACGTGTAGGTTCGATCCCTGGGTCAGGAAGATCCCCTGGACAAGGAAATGGCAACCCACTCTAGTGTTCTTGTCTGGGAAATCCCATGGACAGAGGAGCCTGGTGGGCTATGGTCCATGGGGTCACAGAGTCAGACATGACTTAGCAACTGAGCATGCATGCAAACAATGGGTAAACAAGTGGGTGTGGCTACATTCCAAGAAAACATCATCTATGACACATCTGTGAAAACACCATAGCAACAGGCTCACAGGAGGTATTCCCTCTAAAGATATTCCCCATGCCCCCCTTCCTAAGTGAGCCACTTCCCCTACCCCATGATTCTCTCCCTCAGCACCTGCTGCTTTCCTTCACAGCACAGCCATCCACCCATCCACTCATGCAGCAATATTAACTGAGCACCTATTATGTGCCCAGCAAGGTGACAACTGTGAGCAAGACAAACCCCACTCTGTCCATCTGAAGCTTACATTCTAGTGCAGAGAGATAGATAGTAAACCAGGTGAATATATAATATGTTGCTGCATGCTTCAGTAGTGTCTGACTCTTTGCAATCCTATGGACTGTATCCCTCCAGGCTCCTTTGCCCATGGGATTCTCCAGGGAAGAAGAATAGAGCAGGTTGCCCTGCCCACTTCCAGGAGATCTTCCTGACTCAGAGATCGAACCCATGTTTCTTACATCTCCTGCATTGGCAGATGGATCCTTTACCACTAGCACCAACTAGTAAGCCCATAACTGCTAAAAAGAGAAAAATAGGGAAGCCGGAGGCCTGGGGGAGCTTGAAAAGGTCAATTGCAGGTTAAACAGCCAAGGAAGATCCCCCAGGGTAAAGTGATTTCTAAGTAAAAACCTCCTGGAGATAAAGGAGAAAAGCCTAGGGAAATAGAGAGGAAAGGCATTCCAGGAAAGGAGAAGAGCATGTGTAAATGACCTGAGGCAGAAGTGAGCCCTGGAGGCTTGATGATCAACAGGGAGACCAGCATGGCTGGGCAGGAGTAGTGGGGGTGAGGGAAGCAGGAAATGAAGCCAAGAGGTGCTGTGGATCAGGGGTCAGATCACAGGAAGGACTCTGACTCTAAATGAGACAGGAGCCACTAGTCCAAGGGTCAGCAAACTTCCTACTAAGGGAAAGATTATCAATTTTTTTTTTGCCTTTGCAGACCATACAGTCTCTCTTGCAACTACTCAACTCCACAATCGTAGCAAGAAAGCAGCCCAGACCACACGTCAATGAACAGGCAGAGCTGTGTTCCAACAACACTTTACCTACAAGAACAGGCAATAAGCTGGATGCTGACCACGGACCTTGCTGACCCCTGATCCAGCAGGTTTGCAGCACAGATAACTTATGTGTGGTTTGTCTGTAAATACACGCTTACTTGGGTATTCAATGAATATATGCCCCCCTACCCCAGATACAGGCTCTATGAAAACAGAGGCCTGGATACCTGTTCACGCCAATGCCCGGCATAGAGTAGGTGCTAAGTAAATGCAATGAATGATTGAGCAAGTGAAGATGTGAATTAACAGTGATTCAAGACCCACTTCTGCCCAATGCCAACCCCAGTGAAATAACTCCCAGGAGCTCACGTCTGCAGAGCAGGGAACCCTCCGGAAGGCCTGGATGGCCCCCAGCCGGATCTCAGGGGGGCAGCTCCCCAGGGAGGCACAAGTGCTCAGCTTGGGGGTGAGAGCCGTGGCCGCCCGGCCAGCATTGCCAATGGCCTTCAGCACGAACAGGAGCTGAAACAAGATGACGGTGGGGCCTTGAGGTTGGTGGGGGCACCCAGTCCTCCCGCCCAGTCCACAGCTCACCTGCTTGACAGGGACCCCCTCAAGGAGCCACGCCCAGGATGTGGGCTGTCCTCACCTGATCAGCGTCTGAGGGCTCCTGGAAGGTGCAGTTGGCACCCACGGCATCTCCCAGGATCCTCACGAGGGAGCCAACACCAGGCAGTTGCTCACAGGGCCCGTCCAGAGACACACACAGGTTGTGCACCAGAGCCGAGATGCCCAGGAAGGCGCTGGCGCTAGCCCCCGGGGCCTGCAACAGAGGCTGGGGACAGAGACCAGCCCCCACCCCAGCCAAGAAGCCTGGTGAGGGGTCTTTCACAGGCCTCCCCATGGGACGTTTCTTAAAAATACGGACGCCCAGCCCCTACCCCACCACTCCTGAGGGTCTGAATAAACTGCCTGTGGTGTGACCTGCAGGGAGCATTTCTTAAAATGCCCCAGGGGGCTCCCCTGGTGGCTCAGTGGTAAAGAATTTGCCTGCCAGTGCAGGAGACACGGGGTTTGATCCGGGAAGATTCCACATGCCACGGGGCAACTAAGCCCAAGTGCCGCAACAACTAAGCCTGTGCTCTAGAGCCTGGGAACAGCAACTACTGAAGCCCATGCACCCTAGAGCCCTTGCTCCACAACAAGAGAAGCCCCGGCAATGAGAAGACCGTGCACCACAACCAGAGAGTAGTCTGGCTCCCCACACCTAGAGAAAAGTCCACACAGCAATGAAGACCCAGCACAGCCAAAATTAAATAAATCAATAAAAATATTTTTTTTCAATGCCCCAGAAGACCTCTTCTGTGCATCCAGGATGGACAACAGTATCTCAGGCTAACAGGGGATATTTGGCAAGGCTGGAGACAACATAAATTGTCACAACTTGGGGGCAGTGCGTTCTTGTGATGGGATGAGAGAACAGATATAGTCCAGAGAGGCATGAGAACGGGCAGGAGACGAGCGAAGAGCCTGGACTCCAACAGCCCAGGGACCCATATGCTCTGTTCCCTATGTGTCCCTGGCAAGTGGTACCAGTGTGTACATAACACTTAGCCCACGGCATAACGACTATCAGTCCGCACCATCCCAAGGCAAAGAGAGTACCTTGCCTGAGGTGGTGCTGGTAAGGGACTAGGCTGGGCTGGGAGGTGGCATCGCCTTTAAGAGTCTGCGCTTTAAGTCCCCCACCCCCGACACTTCTGCACTTCTGCTGAGCAAAGGAAAGAGGGAGAGAGAGAGGAAAGAAGGGGGAGCCCAACCCCGCCCGGCACTGGCTGAACCCCCACGGGCCCTGCAGGGCCCTGATGTCTGTGTGGCCACCGTAGGACCTGTTAGGCTGTCAGCAGTGCCCCCCGGGCCCAGTCCTGGCCTGGCTCTGACTCAGGGCCCGGTTCCCTGCTGAACGGGGCCAACCACACAGCCTGCATGGACTGGCCCCACTGTAAATGCTGGCATCAGGGGCCGGGGGACGGGGTGAGTGCTTCCTACGCTCCACCTGGACAGTTAGTCAAGAGTCCGACCAGCATGAGGGACTGCAAGATCCTGCTGGAGACCCCTCCCCTCCATCAGCCAGCCCAGGGGTCTCCCATTCACTCCCTGCTGGTGGCTTCTGAATCCTGGCCCACTGCCAATCTGGACGGGTAGAGTGAGGAGTGACAAGTTAGCCCGCCCCCTGGTGGGTGAGGACACGCCCCCTGGTGGGTGAGAACACGCCCCCCAGGTGGGTGAGGACACGACCCTCAAGTGAGTGAGGACACGCCCCACGGTCCAAGAAAAAGGCACAGCAGCTGCATCACCTGGGCCAGCTGCCCAGCCTCCTTGGGCCTTAGTTTCCTCATCTCTAAAATGGGAGGGATAAGAGCACCTACATCATAGAGGCATCATGGGGGTTAAATAGGACCTCCTTGTGTTGTTAAAAATTGCTAGCCTAGTTTCACATGCTTTCCTAATCCTGAGTCTCATCAAATACACTTGATTACAAGAACAGCAGCAGCTCTAAGCCGCTGGGTCTCCCCACGAGGCATCCAGAGAAGTGCTTTACATTCAGCATCTCATTTCTCACCACGAGCCCAAGAGGCAAATACTTTTCGATCTCCATCTTACAGATCAGAAAAACAGGCTCAGATAGGTCAGGATCACGCAGCTGGCAGGGACATTGCTGAGACTCAAACCCAGTTTCTCTGATCTGCCTCCACCGGCCCCACCAGGCAGAGGCCCAAAGCCTGGAGGACCGCAGGTCCCCGCCCCTCCCTGCTGCGTCCAATCAGCAGCGGAGCAGGGGAGGGAACGCACGGGTGGGGGCAGGGCACAGGGCTCACCAGCAGCGTGAGGACCATAGCATCAGTGGGCTCCGGGACGAAGGCCAGCGACCAGAGCCACGCCTCTGTCTCGTCTGCCTCCACCTCCCCAGACACGATGAGCTCTGCCATGAGGCTCACGCAGGCCTCGGTGCCACAGGAGGGCAGGGCATCCACCAGCGGCTGCCTGACATGGAGAGAGGCCCAGGGAACGTCACGACGTGTAGGGTGGCCTACACGCCCAGGTGCCCTCCAGGACTCCTCTCTCAGGTAGCCTCCAGTCATCGGGGAGCAATCAGAGGCTGAGAGAGGTAAGGCAGGGATGTGTCCGTGCTCACACCCCCAGAAAGGAGCTGAGCCAGACCCAGGCAGCCTGGCCAGGATTCTGTGCTCTTAGGACCCCAGAGACACCAGCAGCCCCATCTGAAAGTGTTAGTCGGTCAGTTGCATCCAACTCTTTGCAACCCCATGGATTTAGCCCACCAGGCTCCTCTATCCATGGCATTCTCCAGGCAAGAACACTTGAGTAGGTTGCCATTCACCTCCTCCAGGGGATCTTCACAACCCAAGGATTGAACCCGAATCTCCTGCATTGCAGGTAGATTCTTTACCATCTGACCTGCCAAGGAAGCCCAGCCTAAACCTTGGCAGTTCTGCCCACTGTTGGAGACACAGCAGTTTGGGGAGATGTGAGTCCCTGCCCACTGCTCTCCCAAAACCAGCCACATTCACCTCATAGGATAAGAATCCCTGCGTAGAACAAGAGTCAACAACTGGCAGGTGGCCCCACATTAAACAGAAGCCCCATATTAAACCGCTAATGCTCTCAGCCCCAAATCACAATCTCTCCTTTTTCTTTTTTTGAAATGTACAGAAAGGTTGGGATGTTCAGGAGAGGTTTTGAACCTTTGCACAGTGATGGGTCTAAATGGGGAGATGATGGCTGAATGGGGGTGGGTGCCTCAATTATAGTAGGAATGGGAGGTTCCCAGGGCTCACACAGGCATCAGGACACACGGGGCAGAGTGGATTGGGCCCCCCACCCTATCAACCCTGATGAGTGACATCCATGGCCACAGAGGGCCAGGCGTCCCACCCACCCTCAACTCATACACACCATCTGCTCATAAACAGTCTCTGGCCTCAATTTATTCATCTGTAAAATGGGAATGCTGATGACTGGGCCAGCTCCAAGATGACCATGAGGCCTCAGGAACACAAGCCTCTTCATCTGGGGATATCCCACATGCCCTTCTCATCTCTCACCCTTGTGTTTCCTCTCTTTCCCTTATAGATTTGGGCCCAGGAAAACCAGGCTCTGGGCAGAAATGGAGGAGGAGGTGAGGGCAAGAGAAATCTCTCAAGAGTATCAGTCCTCTTGGAAACTTCTAGATTTGGGGATGGTCTCCCTGCCTCTCTGACTCCTAACATCTAGGTAGACAAGCGAGACACAGGGGCTTGTGGGAATATCCCAAGGGACAAGTAGGGTGAATCACCAGGGGAACAGGGAACTCCACATGGAGACTCGGAGGCCCCTCCCTACAGCAGACAGCTAAAACGTGCACAAGTCCAGTATCACTTACATTTAAGAGCCTAAGAATTTGATGGATAAGCACAGACCACCTGGGTTCAAATCTAAACTCTGCTGTGTGACTTTGGGTAAGTTTCCTAACTGCTCTGTGCCTTTGTTTCCTTCTACAACTGTTACATAGGAATAAAACCAGCTACGTCATGGGCTCATTGTGAGGATTAAATAAGTGAATACAGACAAAAGGCTTGGAAGGTATCTGTGCGTTATTAGTTATTAAGTTTGGTATTCATTTAAACAGACACGTGACAGTATTGATTCACGGGCTTCCCTGGGGGCTCAGACTGTCTGAAGAATCTGCCTGCAATGCAGGAGACCTGAGTTTGATCCCTGGGTTTGGAAGATCCCCTGGAGAAGAGAGTGGCTACCCGCTCTAGTATTTTTGCCTGGAGAATCCCCATGGACAGAGAAGCCTGGTGGGCTATGACGGGGCCGCAAAGAATCGGACACAACTTAGCAACTGAACAACAATGTTGACATGGTGGGTGGCGGGGGGTTGGGGGGGCTTTCTTTCTTATTTCTGAGTCAATAAATTTTTTTTTCAGGTCTCAAGATCTGAGAGCCTTTGAAAAGCTCACAGACCTGAAACCTGGATCTCGCAGGCCTAGTAAACAGCTGAACTTGGGAAAGGAGCTACAAGTTTCCCCCCTCGACCCCCTACAGCCCTCTGCCCCTGGAGATAGGACCTCAGAAGTTCCCCTCCACCCTTGGGGTCTCTCTATACCCCTTGCTGGCTGCACATCAGCAGGGTGGATCCCAGCCCTGCCCAGCACCCCCCACTCTCAGCAGAAGGGAACCCAGGGCGCATTGGAATGCTAATTCCAGCTCCCGGCCAGAGGGACCCTGTGTGGGGAGGGAACAATGCCTGTCTTTATCCCCGCCAGGCCCCACAGCCTCCAGTCTCCCCAGACTCCAGTCTCCAGCCCCCGTGGGAACCTCCAAGCTCCCTGCTTAACCGTCTTCTTGGCAGATGTCCCCAGACTGAAGGACAAGTCAGGAATGAGATAACATATCACAGGGATGAGCTGAAATGTCACCATCCATCTCTCGATGGTGACCTAGGACAGCAGCAAGATTATCCAGCCCCACCAGGACCCCCCCAGCCAACTCCTGGCCCAGCCCCCAATTCAGGGAGAGGCCCTTACCAGTTGTCTCGGCATTTAAAAGAAAGTCCCCAGAGTTCCATGAGCTCATCTGCAGAGAGGCCGCGGAGCTCAGTCACTAGCGTCAGGAACAGTTCCGTGGCCTGGAAATCAGAGGGGGCAGCGTGAGAGACTCGAACCCCAAAGGTCACCTCATCCATCCCTGTCTCCAGATGTGCTTAGTCGCTCAGTCATGTCCGACTCTTTGCAACCCCATGGACTGTAACCCCCCAGGCTCCTCTGACCATGTAACTCCACATGGAGACTCGGAGGCCCCTCCCTACAGCAGACAGCTAAAACGTGCACAAGTCCAGTATCACTTACATTTAAGAGCCTAAGAATTTGATGGATAAGCACAGACCACCTGGGTTCAAATCTAAACTCTGCTGTGTGACTTTGGGTAAGTTTCCTAACTGCTCTGTGCCTTTGTTTCCTTCTACAACTGTTACATAGGAATAAAACCAGCTACGTCATGGGCTCATTGTGAGGATTAAATAAGTGAATACAGACAAAAGGCTTGGAAGGTATCTGTGCGTTATTAGTTATTAAGTTTGGTATTCATTTAAACAGACACGTGACAGTATTGATTCACGGGCTTCCCTGGGGGCTCAGACTGTCTGAAGAATCTGCCTGCAATGCAGGAGACCTGAGTTTGATCCCTGGGTTTGGAAGATCCCCTGGAGAAGAGAGTGGCTACCCGCTCTAGTATTTTTGCCTGGAGAATCCCCATGGACAGAGAAGCCTGGTGGGCTATGACGGGGCCGCAAAGAATCGGACACAACTTAGCAACTGAACAACAATGTTGACATGGTGGGTGGCGGGGGGTTGGGGGGGCTTTCTTTCTTATTTCTGAGTCAATAAATTTTTTTTTCAGGTCTCAAGATCTGAGAGCCTTTGAAAAGCTCACAGACCTGAAACCTGGATCTCGCAGGCCTAGTAAACAGCTGAACTTGGGAAAGGAGCTACAAGTTTCCCCCCTCGACCCCCTACAGCCCTCTGCCCCTGGAGATAGGACCTCAGAAGTTCCCCTCCACCCTTGGGGTCTCTCTATACCCCTTGCTGGCTGCACATCAGCAGGGTGGATCCCAGCCCTGCCCAGCACCCCCCACTCTCAGCAGAAGGGAACCCAGGGCGCATTGGAATGCTAATTCCAGCTCCCGGCCAGAGGGACCCTGTGTGGGGAGGGAACAATGCCTGTCTTTATCCCCGCCAGGCCCCACAGCCTCCAGTCTCCCCAGACTCCAGTCTCCAGCCCCCGTGGGAACCTCCAAGCTCCCTGCTTAACCGTCTTCTTGGCAGATGTCCCCAGACTGAAGGACAAGTCAGGAATGAGATAACATATCACAGGGATGAGCTGAAATGTCACCATCCATCTCTCGATGGTGACCTAGGACAGCAGCAAGATTATCCAGCCCCACCAGGACCCCCCCAGCCAACTCCTGGCCCAGCCCCCAATTCAGGGAGAGGCCCTTACCAGTTGTCTCGGCATTTAAAAGAAAGTCCCCAGAGTTCCATGAGCTCATCTGCAGAGAGGCCGCGGAGCTCAGTCACTAGCGTCAGGAACAGTTCCGTGGCCTGGAAATCAGAGGGGGCAGTGTGAGAGACTCGAACCCCAAAGGTCACCTCATCCATCCCTGTCTCCAGATGTGCTTAGTCGCTCAGTCATGTCCGACTCTTTGCAACCCCATGGACTGTAACCCCCCAGGCTCCTCTGACCATGAGACTCTCTGGGCAAAAATACTGGAGTAGTCGCCCTTTCCTTCTCCAGGGGATCTTCCCGACACAGGGATCGAACCCATGTCTCTTGCATTGCAGGCAGATTCTTTACCAGCTGAGCCATCAACATGGCTGAAAAGAAGGTGGGAACTCCAGTATGTCCCAACAGCTTCACAGACCCAAAGAGATGAGGCTGCTCATATGGGCCTCTTTCCACTGAATCCCAAGCTCCTGGCACACAGGCTAGCCCACTTTTATTCTTTAACAAGCATTTATTGGGCACCTACTATGTGCCAGGCATACATAAGGGCCAGGGACATGGGGGAAAGGAGAGATGGTGTCTGTATTTGTGGGCTTTATGCTCTAATAAAAGCTCTAATAAAAGTGACTGAGTGGGAAAGAATCCACCTGCAATGAAGGAGACTTGCATGAGATGGGGTTTCGATCGCTGGGTCAGGAACATCCCCTGGAGAAGGATATAACAACTCACTCCTGTATTCCTGCCTGGGAAATCCTATGGACAGAGGTGCCTGACAGTCAATGGGGTTGCAAAAGAGTCAGACACAACTGACCAACTAAACAACATGTTACAATGATCGTAATTATTATGATGAGTCCTACCATATTTCACAGTTTCTGATATTTCCAACTAAAAAACTATGTGAATGTTTGTCAGAATTACGAACAGTGATGGCTAATCGGCAGGGATTTGCAGCTTTTGCTCCTTGTCTACAGGTCTGACCGGCACAGTCACCAAGTCTCCAAACACTCGAGGAAATAAAGGACTCTATTCAGAGCCCACACCTCTAGGAGTTTCAGGAGATAGTGGGTTTGGGATGCTGGCCCCACATCCTGCCTTCCTTCCCCAGTGCCCCCTCAGTCTCGGATTTGTTGCCTCAACCCAAACCCAAAGCCACAGAAAGAGTGATGAGGTTCCTGGCTTCCTGCTGGGCTTGGTCAAGGCCAAGAGTGAGCCCTCACCCCACCCAGCCAGGGCTCCACGGCTGCAGGGACGCGCTTGCGTCACTCGGGCCTCCTCTGCTCTGAGCGGCTGAGACTGAGTTCTGTGCACACAGCTTGACTTCAGCCGGACGCAAATGCAACACAGGCCTCATGGGCCAGCCCTCCCACCAGAGTGTCTGCCCCCAGGGTGGGCAGCATCCCGACTGTGTGACTTCTGCTGGCGGAACTGGTGTGTGTGTGTTTGTGTGTGTGTGTTTTCACTTCAGTCGTGTCCAACTCTTTGAGACTCTATGGACTGTAGCCCGCCAGGCTTCTCTATCCATGGGATTCTCCAGGCAAGAATGCTGGGGGGGGAGGGGGTTGCCATGCCCTCCTCAACAACATCGATGCACAACAGTAATAACAACAACAATGATTGCTTTGTGTGGAGCCTCGACTGCGGGCCAGGCACTGTTCTAGGCACTTTATAGGCACCACTTCATTTGACCTTGACCCTACGAGGGACCATGACTCTTCTCACTTAACAGAGCATTTAAGTCAGGTGACAGCGGCCACAGGGCTTCTAAGTGGCAGAGCCGAGACTTGAACCCACACTCTTAACCAGCATCCTATACTCAAGGCCCTGGAGGGGGGAGATAAAAAGCCCTGATTGCCAGTTTCCATGGTATCAATACTCCCACTGTGGCCCATTACCAGCAGCCCAGGTGCCATCACTGACCGCGGACGTGGGGGTCACTGCACAGAAGCAAGCCATTGTCCCCATTTCTATCCTACAGTGGGTGCCAAGAACCACCAGTGCAAAGATGAAAGTGTAGTAAAATAACTAGCAGGCGATAGTATTGAGTACTCATGACCTTCGTTTTGAATATGATTCATTTTCACTGTAAATGGGTATAACAGTCTTTTGCTTAATTGGAGTATCGTTGCTTCCCTGCTGGCTCAGAGGGTAAAGAATCCACCTGCAATGCAGGAGACCTGGGTTCAATGCCTGGGTTGGGAAGATTCCCCTGGAGGAGGGCATGGCAGCCCCCTCCAGGACTCTTGCCTGGAGAATCCCCATGGACACAGGAGCCCGGCAGGCTACAGTTCATGGGGTCGCAAAGAGTCAAACACAGCTGGGAGGCCAAGCACACACAGTTGCCTTACACCGCTGTGTCAGTTTTTCAGTTTCTACTGCAAAAGGAATCAGCCTTTCATACACACGTATCCCCTCGTTTTTAGATTTCCCTCCCATTGTGGCTAACAGGTGGTGCTAGTGGTAAAGAACCTGCCTACCAATACAGGAGACCTAAGAGATGAGGGTTTGGTCCTTGGGTGGGGAGGATCCCCTGGAGAAGGGCATGGCAACCCACTCCAGTATTCTTGCCTGGAGAATCCTATGGACAGAGGAGCCTGGAGGGCTATAGTCCGTGGGGTCGAAAAGAGACACAACTGAAGCAAGTTAGCTCTAGCACCCATCTAGGTCACCACAGAGCACTGGTAAAGTTCCCTGTGCTACACAATAAGTTCTCAGAGCATAACTGAATCTTTGGTAATGTCTGCCCACCAGCCAACCTGCAGGATTTCCAGAGGCTAACCATCAGCTCTGGCAAGTCAGCACAAGCCAGCTTGGCACACCACCATCCACACTTGGCTGCACACACAGTTGGCGGGCAGTGGGTGTCTGTGATGTGGGTGCTCTGAGTACCCCAGATGGTGGTCAAGAGCTGTGCCCTCCCTCAGGCATCCTCCCTGGCAGCCTGGGGGTGCAGGGGGCACTGACCTGCCCAGCTTCTTTCCCCATCTTCTTCTCCTTCACTCCACTATGCTCTTGGCCACCCCAGGCCGCTGCCCCCCACATCGAAACCCCGGGGCCTCTCTGCAGAGGGTCAGTCTGGGGAATTTGCTCTCTATTGAGTCCCAAGTCCTGGTTTTGTTTCCAAAGTGAAAAACCCATCTTGTCTCCTGCCCACCAACAATGGGGTGGGGCGAAGGCATTCCCAGCCCGAGCCCACGCGGCCATCCCCCTGGTAACCAGTGGGCCCTCTCCTGGGGAGAGGGATGCGAAACATTGCTTGATGTGCACTGAGGCATCCCCAAAAAGCTATTCTCGGGAACAAAGTCCTCGGCAATTCACCCCAGCCCAGGGGACCTCCCTGGTGGGAACAATTTGCTTCCTTGTTAGCGCTGTAAAGACAGGACAGCCACCCCACGGCCTCTGGGGCCAGCACTGCCAGTCTGCAGGAGGGGAGACAGGCCCGTGACATGCCTGGCTCTGAGCTGCCTCTGCTGGGGAAATGCCCCGCCAGGGGGGCGGAGGGTGGTGCTCTGGAGGCCAGATGGAGGGAGGCGGGTTGAACACAGGAGGCAGAGCAGTGGTTCTCAATGGGGGTGAGCGTGCTCCCCAGGGGACGTAGGTAACACGTGGAGACACTGGGTTATCATGACAGGGATGGAGGTGATGCTGACACTGGTGGGTAGAGGTCAGGGAGGCGGCTAAACA